TATTTTTTTGTTAAACCTCTTTATACAGAATGGAAAACAGATGTCCATGAACAAAAAAGAAGCAATAAATCAACAAAATATCCCAGTGATAATATATTTTTTATTCAATTGTGCCAAACCTATTTGCTGAGCCCCAGCCATGGTCCTGAGGTGGTACAGAGTGTGAAGGTATGAATCAGGCTTGGTCCCTACCCTCAGAGGACATGCTTTCTAGTTGAAATGGGATTGGGTGGGAGTTGGGAGAAGTTGAAACACTAGGACCACAATACAAGGTAAAAATGCCATAAAAAAATGGGTGTTATGAGTGTGGTTAAACGAGATAACTTTTCTGGCTTGGCAGATGAGTTAGCATTCTAATTGGATCTTGAGAAATGGGTGGAATTTGGATGTGTAGAGATAAAAGAATTATTGATGCCTACAAAGATAAAAAAGCATATATAAAGTTAGTGAGGTGGAAATGTTAAGCTACTGTGCGCTGGGGATAAAAGTGAGTTATTGAATACCGGGAATAATGACTACGACTGTGGGAATAATAGTTTGTGGCAGCATAGAGTATAAGAAGGAGAAATTTCTGAGATGAAGACAGATGTGGTCATGCACAGCATCTTAAATTCCTTACTAAGCAATGTGTATTTCATCTGGTAAGTAATTTAGACTATGAAAGGTTTCCTAACCATGACATGAGATGACTAGAATTGGGCAATAGAATTTATAGGGACCTTGACAAGCAAGGAGTAAGGGGCCTCAGTTGCAGAGACCATTGTGGGGTTTCTTATAGTCAGGTAGGTGGTAGCCTGGAGGCGAGGAGGGTCTGCATGATAGACACAGTCGGAAAGTGCAAAGACTTAGAAATGGAGGGGAGGAGAGATAAGTGGGACTCTTCGTTGCACACACGTTTGTGTTACAGAAGTTCTCACTTATCCATCAGTCCTTCTTGATATCACACAAAGCTGCCATTTTTGGTTTGCAATGCAATGTGAATTATGTCCTCTTGAGTTGTGCAGTTCATGATAGAAGGAACCTAAGTGAGACCTATCAGCAGCATCATCACCCTCCTCTACAACTTCAAAGTCAACATTTTCCATAGTTTATATGTGTGTGGCCTTTATCACAGACCAGCACTTACTCACTTTCATCGATTTGAAACAAGGGAGAAAAAGTTGGAGGAGACAGCAAAGAAGTAGATCAAGGAGAGTCCAGATGACCCCTTAACACAGTCCATTCAAAGGACACTCACTACAATATCTTATATTCTTTTTCTCAGTGGATTAGCTAATTTGATTAACAGAATCTACTGGGTGTGAAGAACATAAGAGCCTTTGATTGGAAATCCAGGAAACTTAGACTGTAGATTCAAGTATCCCATTTCCTAAGCATGTGATCTTGAACAAATAGTACTTGCACTCTTTCAATCTCCATCACCTGAAGGATTGTACAAGCATTATGTAGAAGCAAACCAAATGACAGAGGCCAGGACAAATTAGGTAATGTGGTCTGAGCCAGTATCTCTGAGGAGGTGACTAGTAAGCTGAAACCTAAAGGAGAAAGAGTCATCCATAGGGGACAGGGCCAACAGGGGCAAAGGACACTGAAGATTGAAAAGATGGTGGATTCCAGCTCCCTGAGGGAGGAACAAGCATTGCTGTGACAAGGCCAGGAGGAATCACTCTACAGATCTCTCACAAACTCAAGGAAGGTGCATCTTGTTATTGTTGTTAAATAGGAACACGTATGTGTGTTCAATTTTGAAGAAAGTCATTTTTTTGAAATGTTTAGAGGGTCGCTGTAATAATGTAACAGAATCCAAAGGGGAGAGAGAAAGTTGTGAGGCACTTTTTTCAAATATTTTTATGCATGAAGAAGTGAGCTTAGTACAAAGCCAAGAGAGAATCCACCTGACCCTAAAATACTATATAACACAGAGAGTGAGTAGAGTTCAAACAGAGATACAGGTTTCTGCTTCTGGAAAGTGAAGTCAGAAACCAGAGTTTTGTCTGATCACATGAAATAGGCCCCAAGGGCTCTGGTTTTGAGATTTTTATTCTCTCAGCTATAGGAGTTGACCTTTGCTGTGATTGATGCACGGGTTCAAGAGAACTTTCATGAAAAATAAAATCTCTTTCTGAAGGAAATCATGCCTGTGATGATAATCCATTAGACTGTTGCCTTGCTCGCCTCCTTGTTCTCCAGGGCCACGGACATTTCATGTAGGGGCAAGTAAGGAGGGAGAGCGACACAGCTGGGAACCCAGTGGCAGAGGGCTTGCATCTTAATGCAGCTCCTCTGTGCACTTAGCCAGGGCTCTGGGACAAGCTAAGTGTTTTCTGGAGGGCCTAGCACCTCATCAAAAGAAGGAAGAGAATGGTCCTCCCTGGTAGAGCAAGGGGTTGTCTCAGCACTGTGAAGCTATCCACAGCCACTGCAGCATGAGTTCAATACCTGATCCCTGTTCAGGGAGGTGACCCACATGGTGTGGCAGGCCTCTCCTGTCACACCTACTGCTCCCCTCAGCAGTGTATTTCAGTCAGTCCTCCTGTTCTCCTCCCCACTCTGTATCTGTTGAATCCTCTCACAACCTGGCCTGCACTGTAGTTCTTGTATTCATAAGTAAATAAGTCTTTAAAAAAAATAAAAGAAGGAAGAGAACAACCTTTGTGGTATCTTCCTCTTAAGAATGTTATGACCTTTATTTTTTTATTTTTTAAGATTTATTTATTCATGCATACAAGAACCGGGGTACAGGCCAGATGTGCAAGAGGGTGAGAGGATTCACCAGAGACAGAGTGAGGAACAGAACAGGCAGACTGACAGAAATGCACTGCTGAGGGGAGCAGCGGGCGAGAGAGGAGAGGTCTGCTGCACCATGTGGGATTCTTGCTGGCCAGCCAGGATTGAACCCACACTGCAGAGGCTGCGGACAGCTTCACAGCGCTGCGCTCAACCTCCTGCACCACCAGGGGAGGCTCAAGAATGTTAGGACCTTTAAACAAGGGAATTAAAATACAAGAATTTTGTAGACTGTGATGTTCTGTGTATAAAGCAGGAAATAATAGCTTCTGTAGTGTTAGAAATGCCTGGAACTTTGTAAATATGTTGCTTAGACTCAACATTACTAGAGCAGACTACATCATTTTGTTAGCCACAGTGAAAAACTCCACCGAGATGATGGGGAGAGTGAAAAAGAGAGAAATGAGAAATTTGGGGAGAACAGAATTACAGATCTTACGTGCCCATTTTGTACAGAATAATTTATTATAGTACAAACTACATACAAACCTCTAAATAAATAATCACTTTTTCCAGTCATCATATCTGTAAATGCGTACACGCACACTTCTGTGAACATATAGAGACACAGAGGGTACAGCCTATTTCCATTCTCAGATTATACCTATTTAGTGAGGAGAGCCTGACATCAGGTTTCTCCCTTGGTGAGAGTGGCAGACCTTGGTATGAACATAGAGGGGTTCTTTCAAATGTTTTGCATCTGGGAACTAAGTCTACTTCAAATCAAGTCCTGCTCAGGAAAGCATAATAGGAGCTCGGTCCTAGGGTGCAGGGAACTCTCTCGCACTCCTTACTTAAAATATTCAAATATCTCTGTCTGAAAACTATACACACCAGGAGTTTTCCCCTGTCAATTTGGCAGCCAGGACCCCTACCTGGGACCTCCTTTCTAAGCTCTCAGACCCACCAGAACCTGCCTTCCAAGGCAGAGAGAAGCCACATCTGTTTATCCACACCAGGGACCCTCCCAGGGCTGGGAGCCATCCTCCCCAGACCATCTACCCTGGGGCCAGTCTGAAATTCTGGGGGCAGCTAAACACATGGTTCACATCACAGCATAAGACTGAGACACTGGACACATCAAAACTGGAAGGGATCCTGAAGGTCACTGAGTTTCATCTGATACTTGACTTCCTTTTCAAATAGGTCCTTGACTATCCACTCACACTTCTGGTGCCACATAGCGCATGCTTGGTGCGGATACCAGTTTCCACTTCAATCAGAGTTGACAGTTGACTGAGATTTCCTCTCAGTTCAAAGTTCCTACCAAGCTCTTGACCTACTCATAGAGCCACCAGCACAGGTCAGAGCTTGGTCTTCTACGGTAACATTTCAAATATTTGAATAAACACTTATATCCGCTGACTCCCACTCCTTTGCTCCCTGCTCCTTCACTTACCCGCCAAAGACATTGTCAGTCTCAAGCACAGTCTTCATAATGAGTCTTTTAGCAAAGATTTTAAGGTTGTTTGGGTGAATGGGGAAACACAGTCCTCCACCCTGTGCCCTGCCAGTGGTGTATGAATTGCTTAGGATGGAATCACTTACGACCAAGGCAAGAATGACCAAGTCTCAGAAAGATGGACATTTTGTTTTTTTTTTAACATGTTTCTAGCCCAAATCTGACAGGGTATGTGGCATTCATTTGAACAGAACGCCCTGGGACTAGCCAAGGCTGCTCCTTCCTTATAGCAAATAAGAAACTCATTCCTGTAAGGTCATACTGTGCAGCCTGGAGCTTTGTAATCTGTCTTGCCGCCTTGCTGGAGCTTTGTAATCTGCCTTGCTGCCTTGCTGGAGCTTTGTGATCATTTTGGGAACTATTTGCAAGTAACAGAAGATTTGCTCAGAGTCCAAGCTCTGGGTCTTTTCTCTTCACCTTGAATCTCAGTTTTCTCATCTGTAACTTGGAGTGATAAACCCTTCCTTGTTTGACTCCTGGGAGAATTATGCAATCAAATGAGCTAGTGGAGGTGAATGCACAGGGTGAGGGGATCTTCTAAATATCAGCTGTGCATTTTGCTCTGCTTATCACTGGGCAGGTCATCTCCAGCTTGCCCCTGCCCATAACCCTTCATTTTTGAAAAAGGAGAAAAACTATCAGTTTTAGAAAAAGCCATTCAGAACTCTCCTATGAGCTAAGGCTTACTTTGTGAAAGGAAACATTTTTTTCTGTACTAAGGAAGACAAAGTTTGTGCAGTCTCTTTTTTTTTTTTTTTTTTTTGTGGGACACTCGCCAGTGGCTGGGGATTGAACTGGCACTGCAGAGGCTGCAGGCAGCCTTGCAACCCAGCACTCAACCGCTGCGCCACCAGGGGAGGCCCTGTGCAGTCTCTTTTAATGATTCTTCACACCCTAGTTTAAAACCAGAAGCAAAAAGACACATTCATGGTTGAGAAACACCACGTAACCAAAATTATCTGCAGTCAGAGAGCCCCCATTCAAGTTCAGGAGATGAGCCAGGGACAGGAATGCTTGCAGGTGCTATTGATTAGTAGCAAAGCCAGCCCCTTCTTCAGGGCTGGGACACTCTCTCTGCCCAAAATATTTACACAGGATTTGACATTCACAATGAAAATTTTACTTTTGCCTTAAAATAGTATTTATAGTTTTCCTAGAATTCAGTGTGGTCTACTGAGCTAACAGAAGCTTGGATGCTTTCTCTGCTGAATGAATCCAAAATAGCCAAATTGCAATAGTGATTGAAATATAGGAAATTTTTTATTTTCTGAAAACTGGAACTTCCAATTTAGGAAATGCATAGGCCATATAAGGACATGTCAGTGATAACTAATAGTGTTATTATCTATATAATGTTGTAGCATAAGACTACAACCTTTCTCAAAAATAAAGAAGCCGAGGAGTGAACACTCTCAGAGTTGGGCATGTGAGGTGAGGGGTCCTAAAACACAGACCTTCACAAGGTCAAGAACATGGAGTTCAGGAGGCAGTCCCTGTGCTCTTGGAGATGTGCTACTTTCCTTTTTTCCCACGAGTCCAAGCCAGACCAACTACACCATTGTGGGTTCAGTGTAAAGTGAAAAAGTGGGGGGGCCCTTGCTCAAAACTGAAGGATTTCAGGATGGCAAGAGGAGGGCATGTATTAATTGGGGAGCCCTTCTAAGCATGGGGCCCTACATGACTGCACAGGTCATAGGCCACAAAGATGGACCTAAATACAAGAGACTGCACTCCCCAGCCACTTTGCCAAATCCCTGGTTAATGAGATGTGGGTGGTGGGGTGGGGAGGCAGTGAAGAGCCCTTGCTTCAACTTCAGGCATTCCCTTCCCTGGCACAGAAAACAGAGTTCACACTTTCCATTGGAGGAACCGTTAGATGCAAGGACAATTGTTCCAGAGTCACCTGGATCAAGAAAGAAGCTGTTGCATATTCAACCACTGAGATACTGTTGATCATTACTGCAGCAGCATCGACTTAGCCTATCCTTACTAATCTGTAAGGGAAGGCCGGAAGTAGAAGCATCTCAAATCTGAAAAGTACTGCAAAGGGAAGGAAACCATACCAGAAGAAAGTCTGATAGCTCCCAGGCTCTGGTTTTTCCACTGATAAAATAAGAATTCAAAAATGACCTTTAACATGTTACAATTCTATGACTATATCCACTGCTACTTTCCCTTAATGGACTGAAAACATATATGAGCTAAGAAGAGAGATTAAATATTCTCTCTCTCCTTTAGCCTCCCAGTCTCTTGGCCTTTTGCTATCTGGGCCCATTCTTGATTCACTGAATCAAGACGCCATGAGGAAAGCACTCTTTAGGGCAGTGTTTTGCTCTGCAAAAATTTTATCAAACAGACTGGCCACCATGATTGGATGGGTTTTTGATTCCCAAACCTCTGGCTGATATTATGAGTCTTCTTGCTTAAAAATCACTGAAATGGGTTCATTTTATCAGCATTTCTATGTTATATCAACCAGGGTATCACTTTGCCTTCAAAGTTACTCCTCGTTGCTTTCAAACACTGGGTTGCTGTAAGACACCTCCCTGCCATACCACAGGACGTCAGAGTAGGAGGTCTGATTTATCGGGGGCCAGTTGGGGTCACTTGCCAAGGCCCTCTGCCATACTCGATACTGGCTTTTTGATTCATATCCAAAACATTTTTTGATTGTCATCCACAGGGTTCGGTTTTCAATAATGGCCTCCTGCAAAATAAAAAGTTACACTTTACCATGAGTGTCTCCAGGTTACAGCCCTCCGTAGACCATAAAAAAGCACTACTGGGGCCTCCCTGGTAGTGCAAGGGGTTAAGCGTCAGCTCTATGAAGCTATCGGCAGCCACTGCAGCAAGAGTTCAATCCCTGGCCAGGGAACTAACCCGCACGGTGCAGCAGATCTCTCATATCTCCCCAGCTGCTCCCCTCAGCAGTGTATTTCAGTAGATCCGCCTGTCCTGCTCCCCATTCTGTCTCTGGTGAATCCTCTCACTCCCTGCACCTCTGGCATACACCCCAGCTCTTGTATGCATAAATAAATAAATCTTTTAAAAATATATTTCTCTAAGAAGTCTGCTCTGTTTATCTACTAACAGGATGTTAAAAACACAACCTTCCCATCAGCATCTTGCAAACCTCAGGGCTCACCTGGCCAGACCTGTTATTCTACTCTCCCACTGCAAGGTTTCCTTTGTCCTCCTTAATTAACAAGAAAACAGTAGTTCTCCTTAGAACTGGGATAAGGCAGGATCGTAAAAATCTAACTTACTGCAGGAAATCTTAGCAGACTCTAAACAAAACAAATGAAACAACACACACAGAGACTTCAGTGCTCTACACCTCAACTTGAGTTTTCATACAATCTATATATATGACAATTGTAACCTTTTGCTACTCTGGAAAGGGACACTGAAGCCCTGACAAATAATCTGCCCCATCACTCCACATTGTAAATTAAATGCAGAACTATAAACAAAGGGAAAGATTTGATGAGATGCCATGTATTTAAAAAAATAAAAACAACTTTATCAAATGAGCTCTTCTGACCAGCTCAAATAATTCATATATAATAGCCTGTATGTATTTAACACTTAACTATGGGCTTTTATGTATTTATGTGTGTGTATATATACATACATATATATATATACATACATATATATACACACACATGTATATACACACACACACGTAATAAAATGGGGGGAAGGGGATCAAAGCTACCCATTAGTTCCCAAGTCCTTTAGCTAGAATTTAGATCAACAGAATCAGCAAAGGATAAGGTATCATGGAAATCTGCATATTTTTCTGGGCTGCTCTATAACTAGGTTAGAGTTAGAGTTAGGGTTAGGGTTAACAGACCAAACCGTATTCAGGACTGTGCAAAAGAAGGCCAGCTGTCTTTCATGCTTATTTCCCCAAAACCTGCACCATCTCTGCAACAGGCTGGCTATATTGTATGGTGTTAGCACAGCCCACACCCAGAATCCTTACTTGGCAGACAAATCTAGAGTCACCTGAGGAAAGCCCCTTACTGCATCCATGATGGGGTTCTGTCTACTCTGCTAGTGTTACCCCACAAAGCAGGCAATCTCAGTTTCCATAATTCTGCATTACATCTGCCTTCCAAAGACTCAGTGGCTTCAGTTGCCCCTGAATGCCTGTTGGTAGCAGGGAAAGGGGCAACTTGGAACAACTAGAGCATGCAGTGGAGGAATCAGGGCATGGAGTTGGAAGCCTCATATGTGACTTCTCAGTGCAGATGCTGCCACTAAACCTCCATGTGCATCTCTTTCTCACTCAACACAAGGAACAAAGGCGAAATTTTACCTTTCCTGCATATCTAACCATCTTCTCTGTCTGCTGGGAGTAAGCAGGGTCCCATCTTACATTAATAATTGAATAAATCTTTGCCCAGCTCCTCTTAGAACAAAGCGAATTTTAGGTGCTGTGGCTTCTGAGTTGCGTTCTTGCCAGAGAGTGTAATGGCAAGTGAGAGAAATAATTATACACAAATAACTACAGCCCTTGTCCTGTTTCTCCTTGTAGAATGTGAGCTCTACCCCTTTGTCATCCTCTCATGTCATACGATAGGACATGTCATACGATAGGACACTCATGTCATACGATAGGACAGGGCACACAGTCAACATATGCTGTGAATAATCACACTGTTAATATAGTAACCATAGCTTGTATGTACTTAACACTTAACTATGGGCTTTTATGTATTTAACAAACTATGGGCTCCTCACTGTTCACATGTCATACAATAGCCCTTGAGATAAGGTAGGATTTAGCATTGCCATTTTACAGGTGAAGAAGCCACTAAAGACAGAGAAGTGGAGTTACTCCACTTACAGAGAAGTGGAGTAACTTGCCCAAACTCAGATGGCAACCAAGATGCAGCCAGGATTCTCACTCAAGCACCCCACTCCTGGGTTAAGCTCCTAACCACAAACACACTGACAGTAGAAGTGCTTCCTGCTAGGACACTATGGCAGGCCTTGTTGTGTGATTAGCCTACTGCCTGTTCCTCCCACCTCTTCACTACCGCCTTAAAAAGAGAAAAAAAAATCATAAAGAGCCTCAGCAAATCCATCTAACTTCTTTTAGGCATAGAATCACAGTCCCTGACTCCTCCTGTGTTCAGGATGACAATGAGACATGGGTCCAAGCAATCAGACATAGAGGAAGTTGCCAAGTGGGCTGCAGAGATTTTCCTCCTTTTCCCTATAAGAGGTTCATACTTGAGGGAAGAGAGCTTGCTGGTACCTCTCCTTTTATTTATTTTGGTCTTCACTGAAAACAGATATGATACCCAGCTTTTAGAAGCTATCTGGGCACCACAAGCAATAAGCACAAGCAAGAGATGTCAACATCTAAGGATGGTGGGAGAGAAAGGTAAAAGAATACAGATCTCCAATGGCAGTGCCAAGATACTGACCCAGCCCAGAAGTCACTTACCTCCAATTTTTGGTTAAGGGAGTCACTAAATGTCTTTATTGTTTAACCACTGTTAGTTGAGTTTTGTTACTTGCCTAACTGATCTGAGCATCAAGAAAGATTCATAAAGAGGAGAGTACTGCCACTGTGCACAAGAGAGGAAAGAGGTAATGGTGCTAGAAAGAGGTAATGGTGCAGTCATGGCCATGTACAAGATATGTACTTAAGATTATCCCTTAAAGGGCAAGGGCTGTCTTTCTGCTACTCAGTGTGGGGACTCTGAAGATGCATGAACTTGGTGGCTTTGGAGACCATATGGTATAGCATCATGCTTCTCAGTGTGGTCCTTGAACCAGCAACATCAGAATTGCCTGGCAACCTGTTATCAACAAAAACTCAGACCTGCTCCAGTCACACTGAATCAGAAATGCTGGGAGCAGGACCAGACTTGCTTTAAAACCAGGCTGAACAACCTGTGCTGTTCACAAGTCCTCCAGGAGATTCTGATGCCGACTCAAGTTTGAGAAGCCCTGGTTGCCCATATAAAGAGAGGTTCCAATGCCCTGATTCTATGTTCTGTTCTTCCCCCCAGCAACTCTGCAGTCTTTGCCTAGCTTAGTAAAGAAGGCTTGTTGAGCTCCTGCCTGCAAAATGTTGCAGTAAAGTTGTCTGGCTCCTGGCACTCTCAGCCACTATGAAACTCCCCTCACTAGAACAAATCTGACTTTGTAACTGGGAGAAGGATGGGGACAGATGGGCTCCTACAACTCTCTTCACCTTACAAGTGGAAGCCTTTTCAGGGGTGTTGCTCCCCAACAGTGGGCTTTGCAGAATAGAAATTGTGTTAACAACACTGAAAGAGAAAGTGAGATAACAAAGAGAAAAAAGGGGAAAATACAAGCTCATTTTACTGAGCAAATGGAAGTTGGAGAATAAAAGCCAGGAAAAGCTCACTATAAATCTCATTTCCCATCTGTAAAGTAAAAATGATTCAAGTTGTTAAGAGGAAGAAACCAGACACGAAGACCATGTATTGCATGATCCTTTTTGTATGAAATGTCCAGGACAGGCAAATACATAGAAACAGAATGTAGATTAGTAGCTGCCAGGGGCTGGAGAAGGGAGAAGAGGCAGTGAGGAGTGACTGCTCATGGTTATAAAATTTCTTTTGAGGTCCTAAGAATGTTCTGGAGTTGGAAAGTGATGTTGGCTGCACAACTCAGTGAATACACTAAAAACAAGTGAATTAAACATTTAAAAAGGGAAAATTTTTAGCATGTGAACCAAATCTTAATTTCAAAAATGAATGGAGTTGGGTCTTTGTGAATTCAGAGGTGACTAGCACCTTAGGGATCATAATTCTGTTCTCCCTACTCCCATTTTACGGAAGGGAAAAATGATGCCTTGTTTGCAATTAATCAGACGAAAGCATCACCACTCATTCCTGTTGCCAAGAAAGGAGCCCCCTGCACCACTGTCAGTGTCAGCTACCACTGCTCCTTTATCAGGCTCCCAAAGGGACTCCTGCTTCCCACAGTGATGAGCAGTCAGAGGGCACTTACCTCCACCACAAAGGACACAATGAAATTTGAGCTGAGCATGATGATGATGTAGACCCTCCACAGGACAGGCGTGCAGATCAGCTGGCAAGAGATGAACGAGCAGTTAGTCTGAAGACAAACATAGGCTGGAAGTATGTTCAGGTTCACAGTGCACACTGTCATAAGTTGTAAACCACATCTGTAAACCTCATATAACACACACATGCATACATTGTATGTAGATGTTCTATATATGTGTATATATATGTATTTTATACTTACATTTTACATAGATAGGAGCATTTTATATGAGAGTATTTCTATACAAGTATGCACAAAACACAGTACAGAAGGTTTACACCCAAGGTTTCTGAAGATTTAAGGACTGTGATTGCAGCCTTTTCTTTTATTTTCCCTTCTTCTTTTATTGTTTGCAATTTCCTGAAATAAATTTGGTCACTTGGAAATAAAAAAAATGGTGGATTAAATGATATCTGTATAAAGTGAGTTTATTATAGCTTTTTCATAATAAAAAGCTACAAGTAACCTAAGTGTCTGTCAATAGGGGATTACACGCAAATTATGGTAGACATATACCAGTATGTGTGTGTGAAATTAAATACTGTATTAGCATAAAAAATGAGGAGGCTTTTTTGCACCCATGTAGAACAATTAGCAAAATATCGTGTACATGAGAGAAGGTCCAGGGATGTGTACGGCAGTTATGAAAATGCTCCTCTGAGATCTCCTGTTGCTGGAGGGTAAATGGCAGATTATGTCTGCCATGAGGCCACACCTCCACGGGCTGCTCATGAAGAATGACCAAGGAGATCCGGGCTTCTAATCTTCCTCAATCCTGGAGACACTAGATACCTCTCTCAATGGCAACTCTGATGACCTTGTTTTTAAAAGATTTATTTATTTATTTATACAAGCATTGGGTACAGTCAGAAGCGCGGGAGGGTGAGAGGTTCACCAGAGCCAGAATGGGGAACAGAACAGGCAGACTGACGAAATACACTGCTGAGGGGAGCAGCAGGCGTGGCAGGAGAGGTCTGCGTGCCATGTAGGACACTCACAGGCCAGCTGGGGAAGAACCGGCGCTGCAGAGGCTGCAGCCCAGCACTCAACCGCTGTGCCACCAGAGGAGCCCCAACTCTGATGACTTTTTAAAGACTAGATTGCAGCCCCAAACTCTGCTCATCTAACACTCCTTCCTTCCCTCTTTCCCCTACAGGAGTCAGACCCACACCCCAGTGTGGTGCCTCTCCTCACTTCCTAATCTCTTATATATCTTATATACCTAATCTTCCTAATCTCTTATATATCTCACTTCACCTTGCTATATCCATGGCAGAAATGTTGAAAAATGTAGTAGGTACTATTTGTGTAAAAATGTGGGAGAAGAGTATCCATACAATAAATACATATATAACTAAGTACATATGCATAAAATATGTCTAAAAGTGCATAAATTGAGCTGGTATCATGGATTGCTCTAAGAATGGAGCTGGTAGCTAGGGAACAAACTAGGGAGGGGGATTTTTACTATGTAACCTTTCTCACTATTGAATTTTAAACTGAGTGAATGCATTCTCTATTTCAAGAACAATTATGCAATTTTTAAAAATGAGCAATAACTAGGTTGCTAAACAGCATGAGTTCCATTTAAAATATAATAAATTTCATAAATCAGTCAATGTACATTTTTAATATATGAGTTTTAAAAAAAGAAGGATATAGTGAATGATGTTATAATTTTCTTGCTTTGCATATACACACTTTCTAAAATGAACCCCTAATTTTATGCAATAATAAGAAAAGCAATTATTTTGAGTGTGAACAACAATTCTCTGCAGAATCTTCTGCAGCCATGCAGGCAATGACTTCACACAATTTTCCTCCAAAACAACTATCTTCCTAATTTTATGATAATGGAGAATGCAGTCTCTCTGAAAGAGCCTTCCCTATTAAAATGTGTGGTTAACCCAATATGTCTTTTTTAAAGATTTATTTATTTATGCATACAAGAACTGGGGCACAGGCCAGAGGTGTGGGGAGGGTGAGAGGATTCACCAGAGTTAGAGTCGGGGGCAGAACAGGCAGATCTACTGATATACACTGCTGAGGGGATTATCAGGGGAGGCAGGAAAGAAAGGTCTTCTGTGCAATGTGGGTCATCTCCCTGGCTGGGGATCAAACTCATGCTGCCGTGACTGTGGGTAGCTTCATAGTTCTGAGACTTAACCCCTTGCACCACCATGGTGGCCCCTAACCCAATATGTCTTAACCTTAACTCCTGCAGCATGAAAAATTTTTAACTCATTTAGAAGACTAGTGCAAAGTCTGTCTCCATGAGTACTTATCTAATTCATGAAGACACTTAACAACACTGGTAATTACTCTATTAACCACAGTAATGAATGACAAAAATGAAAACTGAATGCTGAACTTCATTTATATGTCAAATGTCTCTATGGGTTTATGAAGAGATTGCTGGTTTCAAGTGCACTTTGCCCTCCAATTGCTTGTCTACATTTAGGAAATTGACAGACAATGATCAGTTGGTGCCATTGTCCTTCTTTGTGCAAGGCACTGGTAATGTAACAACGAATAGATGGGATTTTGAAATAAGACAAGCACATAGGACACCAAGTAAAAATAGCTCAGTTCTTTTACCATCTCACCCATGTTCTATGTACTTGTGTAGAGAACAATAATGATAAACCTCTAATTCAAAAGATTAGGTTAAAGGAATAAATATATATTTTCCCTTGTTTCAATATGTGAAATTTCTGTCTTTTACAGACTTTCAACATTGTCTCAAAATTACAAAATCTAAAATGACTCATGTGGTAAGTTATGGCTCTTTGACAATAAGTTTTACAGGCCTGAGTATGAACATATAGAAAAACACATTTTTAAAAAGATTTAAAAAAGATGTAAGTACAGATTTGAGAATTAACCAAAAAAAAAAAAAAAAAAAAAGTGCTACAGGCAAAACTGTTTTAAACAGCTTCAAAACTAAAGAATTCAGGGAGATAATTCCCTCACATTTGAAAGAGAAAGAGAAAGTGTATAAACAGATTTTCCAACCTTACAGACATCCCTCGAAAGAAAACTGTTCAATGCTTTTGAAATAATTGAAATGAAGGCCAGACAAAATTTTGTTTCCTGATGATCTTAAATTTTAAAATATGAATAAATTCAGCATCCTTTTTAACTTTACCATCTCAAAAGAATAATTGGTGTGAAGAATCTATGTTAATTGCAATTTTGACTTGATTTTTGAAGACATGGTGTTCTACAATTGTAAGCCATTATCATGTTTCAGAGATCAGACTTACATCCAATTGCCTATATAATTCTGGAATATCAGCAAATAGAATGAACAGACACACCCCCAGCTGTATCATCAGCACAAGGACAAAGATATCTGAGGAAATAAGAGCAAAAATTATCAATTTGAGAGATCAGATCATAGAATGTCACATCTATTGATAAACATATTTTAGATTAAATTTACTTGATTTCTACATCCAAACAGCAGGTCTCACCTCTACAATTTCCATGCACATCCTTGAGACAAGTGAAAAATTTTACATGAATATAAGTATCAATATAAATGTGGGAAATATGCATAGAGTAACATTGACAAAATATATTTTCAATAAATGCCTTGAAGATATGCAAGTATCGGAGTCTCTTTAATCATCTGCCTGCAATCCTTCTCTGGAAAAAAAAAAAGGACTGCAAATAAACAAATGTTTAAATTGCAATCATGTGAAGGTCAACGTTCAAGTGCTTCCTCATTCCACAAAGGAGAAGGGCAAAATAATTTTCTCTGAATTAACACATTTTTATGAGGATGTTGAGTCTTCAACTTGTGCTTCCAAATTTTCCCAATTAGAGAGGGAGTAATAGAAAACAAATAAATATCCCCACCATAAACCAAGTCACCCATTTCTCCCAATACACACCTCAACCCCAGAATGTAAGGCGGTGGAAGATGCTTTTTCCAAGAGCCTCCATAATAATCTACAGTCAGATTCCTCCAGGTGAGATCCACTTTCACCTGCCAATAACACTATGTCACCTGCCCAATGCCTTCAGGACAATAGACTCTTTCCAACAGAATGCTGGATGCTCCTCCCACCTCCTCCAGGGTGAATACTGACAAGTGGAAGAAAAAATAAATCTTCCCAACTTGAAGTGATCTCAAGGAAGAGGTGGAGAAAGAAGTCCTAGTATTTACTGCAGCTTGAAGGAAAATAACATAGATGAGGCTGCCTGATGGCTGTGCAGTCCTGGAAGAGGGGTTGGGAGAACCCAGATAAACACAGCTATGCTGCTTACTGATGACCCAGGCACATCTGAGGACCCCTCACCTTGGATCCAGTATAATTCTACTCACAGTTTGTATAGGTGGGCTGCCTAAATGGCTTTCCTTTAGAGAAGATAAGGGCCACAATGATACAGTTGATTGTGCCCAAGAACCATACAGTGGTGCTCTCAAAACTTGTGAAGTCACTATTACTTCCATTTTTTCCTGAAGCAGATGGAGAACTGGTTAACTCTGAGATGGTGTTATTTTGCTCTGTACAGGCACTAAAAGGGAAACAAAACAATGAAGTTGCTATATGAATATATAGGAGAGAGGAGAGAAAATGTTATTTATTCAATAAATTGTGCATCCATCCTGTGTATTAAAACTCTATTGGAGAAAAAGGTGACTAAGTCATGATTTTTCCCCTCCAGTGGCTTAAGATCTTGAACATTTATAAGTAGGGTGTCATATAATTGATCATCTAACAGGGAACACATTTGAATGTGAAAGAAAAAGATTTTGATGGTGTCACTGGGACATCAGATTTAAACTTGCTTTGCCCAGGTAAACTATTATACATGGACACCCTAGATATAAAAGTTCATCATTGATCATTATCATACAAAACAAAGATAAGTACCAATGAACCACACTATCTAACCGTACTATGGAGAAAAGACCATCACTAGAAATTTGTGTGATTGACTTGAAAAGTCAAAGCATTTGGCAGAATGAAGGTCCATTTGCCTCTCATCATATGGCCCAAGTGTTTGTTGGAAATCAGAGTGTGAGAAGCGAGATCCAAGCCTGTGGTCATACCTGTGCATGTCTGTGGAATACCAAGGCTGCCTCTGGACCAGAATGAAGCCCACAATTTGCATGGCCAGGCTGAGAAGAATGTTGAGAACCACAGAGAGCAGCAGAGGTGGGGAGATCAACCGTCCTGCAGGTCTGAAAGGCACCAGCTTGGGGTAGGCACCATTCAAGTTCACTGTAAAAAAAATTCAGATTTTATGTTTATGAGAGCAGAAAAATGAGGCATTCATCATCAGAAGAATGGTGTGACTTCTTGGGCCCACATATCTGAGGAAATTAACATATTGAAGTACAGCAAACACTAAGGGAACAAAATAAGGAATGGGTAGATCCTCAAGTCAGATGAGGAATTCTTAAGCGAGCAGACATAAAAAATCACTAGAAGCTTTTTTTTTTTTTGACTATTCAACAGGCAAAGACTATTAAATTATAAGAGGGAAAGCGATCAAATGAAAACTCTTGTGCTTTGCTATGGGAACGTAAATTGACACAAACTTTCTGCAGGGCAATTTGGCAAAGGATATGAAAAAATTGAAAAATGTTCATAACATTTGACATACTTATTCTGTTTCTGAAAATTTACCCTAAGGCTAAAACATTATAAATGTAGAAAGATGTTCATCACAGCATCTTTTACAATAAATTATGGTACATCTATAGAATAGAACAACATGGAGTCATTAAGAAGTAATGCTTTCAAATATTTCATGACAAAATGGGAGCAACATCAGCAAAATGGTAGCGTAGGCAGCTCCAAGATTCAATCTCTCCAGAGAAACATTAAAAAACAAGGAAAAACTGTCAGAGCTATGAAAAACACACAAAGGTTTATAATACTCAAACCAATACTGAATCAAGAAAAAGGTGACTTCAAAACAGTTGGGAAATGTTGTGTCATTGATGCTTGCCCTGGCCAAAGCCCCTCCTTAGCTCAGGGGTCCCTAGTTATGGAGGGAGAGGGAGCAAGAAGATTCTACCCACAAAGATTTTATCTTGTTTGGGGTTTGCCTGAAAGACTGGTACAAGGGGGCCTCCCCGGTGGCGCAGCGGTTGAGTGCTGGGTTGCAAAGCTGCCCACAGCCTCTGCAGCGCTGGTTCGATCCCCGGCTGCTCCCCAGCCACCGGAGGAGGGTCCCACATGGCGCGCAGACCTCTCCTGCCACCCGCTGCTCCCCTCAGCAGTGTACTTCGGTCCTTCTGCCTGCTCTGCTCCCCACTCTGGCTCTGGTGAATTCTCTCACCCTCCCGCGCTTCTGACTGTACCCAGTGCTTGTATAAATAAATAAAAATAAAAAAATCTTTAAAAAAAAAAAAAGACTGGTACAAGGTACTTATTTCTTCTTTCTCCTAGAGCAAGCCTCACTCAGGATAGAAAACACACACACTGCTTGAAAACACTGTACAATAATAAACTAGAGCAAATGATTAAAGCTGGCACATAAAATAACTACTTAATATCTGTGAAGAAATTCCAAGAAAACTTTTCTTTGAGACATTATGGCATTCCAAAGCACATGTGTATATTGGGGGGACATACAACACCACATAGATGCCCAGGGCAAGATGCGTGCCCAGCAAAGGGCATCGGCTTGAAACAGCAAATACTGGGAGCAGTATTTTGTTGTTAGTGGTGATGTGTTTTAAGTCATGAGTCTCAAGAAAGCTATGTCAAAACATCAGCTGAACAAAAGCTAAATGGACAGAGATTTCAAGGACCACAAAGAATAACTGAAATAGCTTAGGAAAGTTATTAAGCAATTGACTACTATAGACTTCATAAAACATACAAAAAAATGTCAAACCCTAGGGAAGGGGGAAATCTGATTATCCGAGTTCTTACATTATAATATTCAACTAGCCAAAATAAATTGATAGAAATCATCCCTGAGGGAGCCCAGACATTGTATTTACTGGGAAAAGACTTTGTCTTAAAAGTCTTAAAAGAATTGTTCTAAATGTATTCAATGAACTAAATAAAACCATGGATAAATAACTGAAGGAAATCAGTGAAATAATGTATAAACAAAATAAGAATGTAAATAACAAGATAGAACTTATAAAAAGGAACCAAAAATATTCTTTAAAAAAATTCTTTTTAAAATTTCTTTTTATTGGCATTCCTATTTAAAATTTCTATATTAAAGGAAAGAACTGAAAAGACAATAAAATCTGAATATTTGCAATCAGATATTTGATAACATTTTAATATCCTCAAAATAAAATACTTCAGGACTCAAGAGTCAAAAGACAAAAATCCAATTAAGAAAAGGGGGAAAAGACTTGAATAAATGTTTTTTCAAAGAAGACACCTGGATGACCAATAACAACTAAAAATAAATTCAACACTATTAGTCATAGACAAGTGAAAATCAAAACCCTAACAAGATATCTCTTCATACTTATCATACCTATCAGAATATCTAAAAAAAATTTTTTTAGGTTAAATGACAAGTGTTGATGAGGTTGTAGGAAAATTGAAACCTTAATGCATTGCTGGTGAGAAAGTAAAATGATGCAGTCACTACAGGAAATAGTATGAAAATTTCTCAGAAAGTTATAGACGGGCCTCCCTGGTGGCCTCGGGGTTAAGTCTTAGTGCTATCACCGCAATGACCTGAGTCCCATCCCCTGCCAGGGAGCTAAGCCACATATGGCACAGCAGACCTCTCCTGGCTCACCCGCTGCTCCCCAGCAGTGTATTTCAGTAGATCTTCCTGTTCTGCTCCCTACTCTATCTCTGGTGAATCATCTCAACCCCAGTGCCTCTGGCCTACACCTCAGCTCTTCTGAAACACAAAAATAAAAATAAGTGAAACCTTAAAAAAAAAAGTTATAGGTTGCCACATGACCAAGCAATTCTGCTTCTATACTCAAAAGAGTTGAAAACAGGGACTCAAGCAGATATTTTATGCAAATTTTCATTGTCAATTATTCACAGTAGTCAAAAGATGAGAGCAACCCAAGCCTATCAATTGATAAATGGTTAAATGAAATGTGGTATTTACATATAAAGAACTATTGTTCAGTCATAAAAAGCTCTGATACATGCTACAACATATAGGAAACTTGAAAAGACATTGCTAATCCAAATAAATCAGATGCAGGCACAAATGTTGCATCACCTATATGAAGTATCTTTTTTTTTTAAAGATTTATTTATTTATTTATACAAGCGCTGGGTACAGTCAGAAGCGTGGGAGGGTGAGAGAATTCACCAGAACCAGAGCAGGGAACAGAGCAGGCAGAAGGACCGAAGTACACTGCTGAGGGGAGCAGCGGGCGGCAGGAGAGGTCTGCATGCCATGTGGGACCCTCGCCTGGTGGCCGGGGATCGAACCGGCGCTACAGAGGCTGCGGGCAGCTTTGCAACCCAGCGCTCAACCGCTGCGCCACCGGGGAGGTCCTATATGAGGTATCTTTAAAAGGCACATTCACAGAGACAAAAAGTAAATGAAACAGACCAGAGGTTGAGAGGGAGGACAATGGGAGTTACGGATTAAAGAGTACAGAGTTTGTGTCTAGGGTGATGAAAAAGTCTTGGAAATAGATAACAGTGTTCATTGTACAGTATTGTGAATGTGGTTAATACCCCTGAAATGTACACTTAAAAATGGTGAAAATGACAATAAGAAAAATTAATATACTTAATGACACTGGAAAGTAAATCTAGTTAAATAAAAAAGGATGGACAACATACATAAAGAACACAAAATACGACGATAAAGATCATTTTTAAAAAGGATGAACAATTACATAAAGAACACAATTCAAATTTCTCCAGTTTAAATTAAAATCAAAATTCTGTAATTAGTTAACTCTGGATAGTAGAATAAAGATGGGCTTTTTTTTTTTTTTTGCAGTGTTTTCTATCTTCTTTCCACAAGGAAGGTATGTTAATCAAAATAAAAACAGAAAATAATCATGTTATTTATCAAAAATAGAGAAACACTTGAAGTTGCTTGCTATGGAGAAGAGAACAATCTGAAGAACTGAGAGCCGTTTCTGAATATCTGAAGGACTGGTGTGGGAAGACCAAGCAGATTGTTTTGTGTCACCCCAAGTACAGAACTGGGATGGGTAAAAGTCCTGATGAGATTGATCTAGCTTGATGTGAAGGAGAACTTTGTTAAAAGTAAGGACTGCCCAAGGGTATTCTTTTAATAGATTTAACAGATATTAATGAGCTGCTTTGATATGACAGGCACCATTAGAAGTCCTGGAAATAGAGCAGTGATCAGAGAGCGGTGCAGTTCTGATGAAGGGCACACTCTGAGTGAGGAAAGTGGGGGAGGGCGAAAGCAATTAAAAACATTGTAAATATAATTTCGAATTGCAAAAAGTACAGTTGAAAAAAAGGAAGCAGAACTGTGTGATGAAGACTAACTAGCTCTGTCTTTATTTAAAGTGAGCTTTCAGAGATGGCAACATTTGAGCTAAGATCTGGATAATAAGAAAAAGTCGAAGCCATTAGAAGATCTAAGGGGAGAATATTTCAGTCAAAGAAAAATGAAAAACAGAAGTACTGAGGTGACCATAAGCTTAGCATTGCTCAAGAGACAGAAAAGACTGGAACAAGTAAGTAAGTGGCAATATGGGTAGAGGTGAAGCTGGAGAAGCACTCAAGAGCCAAATCACCTAAAACTTTGGATTAGTAATGGGAAGTCATTGGAGCACTTTAAGCAAGGGGATGACAATAAAATTTACACTGAAAAAACAACATCTTTACCACTTGTGTGAAAGGTAAACAGGGGTGAGGTGAAGATGACAGGATGGATGCAAAATCAATTGGATCACTTGTAAGCTCCTTACAGTAATACACAGAAAAGGAGGTGCTGCTATGAGGTAGCTACAATGGCGATTCAGAGAAGGGAAGCAGGGGATGTCTGGGAGGCAAAGTCAACTGGACACTCGTATGTATTAGAATTGAAGGATGAAGGAAAGATGACTCCAGTTCTTTGACTTGAACAAATAAGGAGACAGGGTGCTAATTTCATAGAACAAGAGATCCAAGAAGAAAGGAATTTTTTTTTTGTTTTGCTTTTTTTTTCACTGATGTATTCTAAGTGCCAATACAAACTAGGTACTTGATTTTAAAGTGAGCTTTGATACTCATATCAAATCTGGTAAACTAAAGATTTCTGTTTGGGCATTTTTTAAAAAAGATTATTTATTTATGCATATAAGAGCTGGGGTGTAGGCCAGAGGTGCAGGCGGGTGAGAGGATTCACCAGAGACAGAGTGGGGAGCAGAACAGGCAGACTGACTGAAATACACTGCTGAGGGGAGCAGCAGGTGAGACAGGAGAGGCCTGCTGTGCCATATGTGGGATAGCTCCCTGGCCGGGGATCAAACTCATGCTGCAATGGCTGACAATAGATTCATAGTGCTGAGACTCAAACCCTTGCACTACCAGGGAGGTCCCCATTCGGCCATGTTAAGTCTGATTATCCAAGGTTAGATGCTGAGAGCTGTATTTCCTGAATTCAAAATAAGCATCAAAACTAGAGCTATAAATTTGGAATTCATCAGCAAATAGATGACATTATATTCATAAGATTGGTTGAAATTGTTTAAGAAGATGGTGTAGATTGAAAAGACCAAGCAGACCCAGAGTCAGGCCTTGGAGCATTACAAAATTCAAAGAAAGACACAGATAAAGGAGCAAGCAACCTTTTGATGAAGGAGAGTGTTGCTGAGAAATCCAAGTACAATCAGGGAAGAGAAGTGGTTGTCTTTTTTGACAGCAAGGAAGCCACACTAGACTTGACCAGAGTAGTGTCAGAGTCGTGGCGACTGCAGTGTGGATAGTAGTCACTTCCTTGAGCACCTTCTCCAGAAGCAGAGCTTTTGAACGGGTTGGCAAGATAAGTTGGTGAGAAAGCATTTAAGATCATTATAAGGAGAAATAAGAAGGAATCGTGTGCAAGCCAGGCCATGAGGCATGGAGAAGAGGCAATCTATCTGAGAATGGCACTTATTTTTAATACATCATTAATGTGTGCCTTGGAATCAGCAGTGGTTGGAATTGGCTCATAAGGGCCAAGGGCTATGAGATTTGCAAGCCAGTTTATTAAACATAGGCATTATCCAAAGTAAGTTATACAAACTTCCAACTAAATAAATATATTAAAAACAAAGTTAATGAATACTTAAAACTGACAGCTGCCTAATTGTCTCACTACATTTTTGCATTATCTCCATTCTGGAAATTAAAATGGAAGTTAAGTATAAAGGTGTATCACATCTGTAGCCATTACATCATGAGCAATATTTTCAAATTGAGAAAATATTATTTTTAGCATTCAAGAACCATTATGCAACTCACTAGATAAATTACTTACATCACTAGAGTTTCAACAAAGCCTCTGTTGTTTTGCTCATTTGGGTAAAGAAAAATGTCAACCAACATTCCTGTTCGAATTAATTCAGTCATTAATTACAGCACAGGTTGACTATGAATACAAGAGTTGCTGGTTTACTGCTGCCTCCCACCAAACAATATCACAAGGCCAGCACCCAAATCCATGCCCTTGAATATGAGAGTCTGACTGGTTGAAGTGAAAGAACAACGGAATTAGAGATGGCAAATAGAAAAAGTACAGATAACTATTTGGTCACTTTGAGAATAAAGAGGAAAACAGCTAGTGGTGAATTTGGAGTCAAGGAAAAGCTTTGAAGAAAGAAAATGTGAAAATATACTTATGTGCTGATGGGAATGATCCTGTAGATAAGACAAAAGTTAATGATATTGAAGAATGATTATTGCAGCAACAAAGTCATCAAGAAGGTAGAAGCATTAAAGTATGAATGGAGCTATTAGCATTTACATATAACACAGAGAAAAATCAGACTACATGGTAAAGATGATAGTTAATGGGTGGGTTGGAAAACAATTCCATAGCAGGGAAATTGGGACGATAATTCATATTTTAGCAAGGAGATAGGGGCAGGAGAAACATGGTGGTGAAATTACCCTTCATCTCTTTTCTAAATCCTGAGAGGCTAAGAATGGAGATGGGGGGGAAAAGCCATTTTGTTTTTATAAACTGGGCATCTTTCAACTATAGCTGTACCTCAAAACACAATGAAAGCATTATTCCTGATTTCAAGGTTGTTTTCTTTTTTTCATTTTAATTGTTTAGTGACCATTATGGAAGTTCTATTTTTTGTAGAAAACAACAAGGCAATTAGCCAGCATTTCCCTTGCTAATACTTTCTTTCAACACTCAAGAATGAGGACCCTATGTGCTCTTTCCTCTTTCTGTACACCTTTGGGAACATGACAGACATCACTGCCCTGTTCCTCCCCGGTGCCAACCCTCCTGGGGTACAAGGAAGGAAACTGAAAGGAGCACTACTAGGAAGAAAGTTTTTAAAATGTCTTACTTGTCACACCAATAAGAGTTGTAATGGCCAGATCCTGGAACAGAAACTGGTAATTTGAAAGGCTGTTTGTCTCCTGAAAACAAAAACAAAAAGAAAGCAACTCAAATAGGTTATGACCTTGGGGATGAAGTTTGATATGAACTGCATTATTTTTTTCACTGCAATATAGGATTTTTCAAATAAATTTGAAGGAGACCATCTCAGGGGCCTGCTTGGGTTGGTGGAAAGATTAAAGACAAGGCCATGAAGTCCAGTCTCACCAGAAGGACCTCGAGCATCACCTGCTCTCTGGGCTTCTCCTTGGTCCATCAGCATCACACCTTGTTGGGGGAACATCTCACTCTACAACCCCACTGCTGCTCTCCTTTCTACTGTGAGCAGAAAAGTCAGGTTCTGGCACCATAAAACAATGCAATCCCAATAACCTCCAGTGATAAATGTGTGGGACTCTGCTGATGGAAACAGACAATAACTGAATCCACTATTTGTGTTCTTGGGTGTTACTGAAATATCCTAATAAAGCACCTAGATAAGAGAATAAAATGTTCAGGTCTTACTGATTTCAAGTAACTCGCTTGCATCCCCTACCCCCCCCCCCCGCCTCTTAATGGAAAGAAGATAGTGATGACTCAATTTTGAGCATGAATTACTGAATTTCCCAATAGGGTCAAAATTATTATTATAACTTTTCATTTTCCTGACCATTTATTGGTGAGTGGAAAATGACTTAGGTAATCTGAAAATAACTGAACTAAAATCTTCCATCCAGGAGTGAAAGGGCAGGGCATAGAGTAGAATCTAGTTACTTTTCAAATGGAATTCCCTTTCTCACTATAGTTAACAGAAGCCCAAATTTTCAGCTCACTAACAATAGTATGCCTTTCCTCATTTTGTATTTCATTAACTAGTAAAAGCCATTACATGGCCTGCATATTTGGTGGGTGGGGGCATGATATAAATTTTTTTAACGTCTATATTCAGAGAAGCACTGACAAGCTAGCTTATCCTCACTTGTAAGAGTCAGTTGCTAAATCATCAAGAATTTTGTGAGATGGTCGTTAAAGAGAGCCAACATAAAAACTAAAATTATATAGATTTACCATTCAATAAATTATAGTAAAAACAAAGGTAGTCAAATAACAAAAAGCCAGCACTTCCTGATTATTTTGCTACAATTTATAGTTATCTGTGTTCTTAAGATTATTTACAACCCTTGTATCTATATGGTGCAAGTAATATATAACAGTATCCAATTGTACATCTCCTGTGTGCTCTGTGTTCAGTGACAGCAGGTAGATAGCTTGAAATCACTCATTGTGGGTGTCTTTACATCACTGTAATTGGCAAACATTAATAATCAGAGCTTGTTTTCCTGGGAGAGTCAGTTATGAAATATTTACTAGCACCCTAATCAGAGGATCATGTTTTATAGATGATTTGCTAGGCAAGAGTCACACTGGGATTGGGAAGATAGAGATCTGGTCCAAACAGGTGAAATGATAATGAGAAAGAAAGGAATATGCTCAGTTCCTATGCTCAGCTACACGCAATAAAAATGGCTATATCAGAGAATTGACACCACTAATTTTTCCAACGTATATTTGTCTGTTTCTTATTTACTTTCAAAAACACTTTAAAGATAGATTTAGAAGGACCAATATCCTGTTTACACTATTTCCTTAGGAAGCATTACACATTGGGTTTTAGAACTCACTAACCAAAAGCCTAGGTCCCCAATCATACCCAGTAGAGCAGCAGCACACCAATATACTGAATCATGCTGTACAGAGCCATGTACTTAAACATGCAAAATGAGGTAACAAGAGCTGCACGTCCTTCCCTGTGTGAGAAAAGAAATGAAAAAGTAATGAGATGAAAGTAATGGAAAGAAATGAGGTCAGTTCTATGCTGTTCAGCTGAGATCAGAAGAAAAATCAAAAGCCTGATTATTCGACTGATGGTCTGATAGTCTGGACCACCTTGAGTCAGTGCGAGCTGGCTGTCAGCATGCCAGATGACCAGATTTTCAGGAAAGACCAATCCTAGGCCAAGGTGCACAGGCCTTGATCCAGTTACGGTTCCAGATTTGGAGTTATCCCTGTTCTTTCTGTGGGTATTATATCAGCAGCTGAACTCAGTGTCAGGAGACCTGGAAACTGCTCCCAGATCTCATACCTACTCACTAATGTGATTTGAAAGGTCATTTCCCTTCTCCCAGTCACAATTTCTTCATTTGTGAACTAAGGAACTTAAATAAGATGGCAGGTTTGGGAGACATTTTCATGTACGTGCTTCAGGAGTTTGGCAGACTAGCATTCAAATTTCACTTGCCACTGCCAACTTTTTCTAAAACTGGACCAAGACAATATGGACACTCAAATTAGTCATAGATTAAATTTAAATAGTGTGGAAACAATGAACATGTTCATTTGTGCTACTGTTGAATGACTCTAAGTAAACAGTATATATTTAAAGTATAACTTATGAAATGTCACTTCTATCAGTTTCATTTGGAAAACATGACAGGAGTTTAAATTTAATCATCATTTGGGCCTCCCTGGTGGTGCAAGGGGTTAAGATGCAACCTATGAAGCTATCCGTAACCACTGCAACATGAGTTCCATCACTGGCCAGGGAGCTGCCCACATGGCACAGCAGACCCCTCCTGTCTCAGCAGTGTATTTCAGTCAAGCCACCTGTTCTGTTCCCCACTCTGTCTCTGGTGAATCTTCTTACCCCCCACACCTCTGGCCTGTACCCCAGTTCTTGTATACATAAATAAGTAAATCTTTAAAAAATAAATAAATTTAATCGTCATAATGGCTTCCTGGGATTCCAAAATCTAATCCTCAAACTAGAATTTTTCTGGTATCCAGACTTTGCTGCTACCATTTGCTCTTCCTAGAAAATAGTTTCTTCTCCTTTCTTACCTACTAAGAAAGACTTTTCCACCTCACCCCATATAAAGCAGCCAAATCCACATCCCCAGCTATCTTTCTACCTTTCACAGTACCCCTGCTTATCTGTGTTTACTGTCTGACTTTTTTATCCAATGAAAGTTTCATGAGATCAAGTGACATTTGATATACTTGTTCCTGGATCCACTGTGCATCCAACAATTCCTGGCACTAAGTATCTACTCAATAAATATTTTTCCAATGCAATAATAAATTTCTAAATATCAGGAGCAACTAGCCAAATAATTTAATGTAGTAAAGAAAGTATAATATTCACAGATAAAACAAAATTTATTCTAATGCAATCTCCAATCCTATGTGGTTGTATGAACTTAGGCACTTCAATTAAGTTGTCTTTAAGTATAAGATAATGGGCAACAATGCACTTTATAAAACTGTAAATACATGCTATATACAATAACCAGAAGTAGCCACAAAACTAAACATTTCTATGATTCCAATAAACTGTAGCAAAAATATATGGTGGGAGAAGAATAAGGGACCAAGGGAAATTTTAGTAGGAACAGCAAAAATGAATAAATATTTTGAAAACTGGAGATGGGAAAGATATTCCAAGGAAGCATAGCGAGACAGTAAGGAAAAGAAAGTTTTTTTCAATTCCCCCATGCAAAGTGTCTAAGGTAATAGTAATAGTAATAGTAATAGTAAGTAGTATAATAATATAATAGTAAGTAGTATAATAATAATATTTAAAGTAATAGTAAGTAGTATAATAATAATAGTAATATGATCATTGACATTCTCAAAGAAGTCACAAGTTCCAGATTCCAATTTTCTGATAACAATCCTTTCATGGATTGTCAGAAATATCCCTACTTCCTTAGTGTTATTTTTAACTCCTGATAAGTCCACTTGGAGAGTAGGATGTCCAGGGACAAAAAGTTTCTTCTGTCTTTCCCAGGCAGAACATGGGATTTACACCTAAAATCTCACAGAGATTAAAACACTGTTTGAAGAAAGCATCTACTTACTTGATAAGGTGAGGTACACACTCAATGTTTGGTGTTTTGGAAGTAAAAGGTGAGGCCACAGATGCCTCTTGTTCTGATAAAGAGATGCCCACGTGAGCCATTTTCAAAGCCTGAAAGCAAAGAGTCAGCTTACTGTCCATGCATGCTCCTCTGTACTGAGGCCACAATGGGAATGCTGTTACACTGGCCCCAAGGTGGCCATGGGGATGAGCACTAGCCAGCAGATGACAACTATCCAAAAAAAAATGGGGACTCCAGGATCAAATTCTTCCCCATTTAATATATACTGACCACTGAATCATTGTGTGGCTTTGACCAAAACCCTCCCAAATCTCAACATCAGTCTCACATCAAGAGGAATGGAGGTGGTACATATCCCAAGAGGTATTATTTATTGCTAAAGGCTCTAGGTAAGCACAACTGAATGTGAGATTATGGCCCCGTACACTGGCACCTACTTACCCCACAGTCATTGGCTCCATCACCACACATACCTACAAAGTAACTAAAAGGGAACTGTGTCAATTGTAGAAAACATCAAAGCAATCTTACCTTCTAATTTCTCCAATTAAAAAGATAAAATGAGCTTGTTATTTTAAGGGAGTTTCCCAAGAATCTGGTTTGTCTAAAAGTAAAATGTGACATGGCAGTTTATACAATGGTTTCAGAACCCAGCACACCACCCCTGTCTCCAGCCCTGGGTAGGAAGCTTACTGGAGACTGTCAAAAGTGGGTGCTTATGATCTGTCTTATGATGAGACCACGTAGTATGGTGGTGAGGGCTCTGGATATGAAACCAGCGTATCTAAATCTTTGACCTGATCATTTTATTATTTTGACTATCATTTTCTCCTCTACAAAGTGTTATGAGTATTTAGCGGGGTGCTGTACGGGAAAGGGCCAATACACTTTAAAATGATTAACAAATAATAGTTGTGGCGCTGTTAGGAGTATCAGGAGAGAAATCTACCTTGTCAACAGCCATTCAACTAAAAAAAGCAGTGTCATGCCCAACAGATCGCAGAAAAAAAACACATCCCTGCCTTGGGATCGCCTTCTGAGGCCAATGTCTGCTCCTTTCTTTAATTGCCACAAAGACCATGGTGCGCCTGCACTTTGGAGAGGAACCCTCCGGCAGCATTTACAGGACTCTGCCACCATGAAGAGAGCGAGCCTACTGGCCAAGTGTTCAATCACACTGAGTAGACAAAGCTTTCTTTTTCTTTCTTTCTGTTTTTTTTTTCCAGGGGAGAGCACGAACGCAGTCCCTCACTACCACAAATTATGCAGTTGACTACAGATCAGGGCTTTCTGACTGGAGAAGTTTGCTTAAGGACTGACACAAGTGAGAGGAGAATAGGGCAGGAGCGAGTGGGCATTCTGTCAATGGAAACGCTCTTTTTAAGAAGAGTATTTTTTTTACCAGCCCCAGTTCTTCCCTTTTGGTAACCACTGAGTTGTCTTATAATTTAAAAACTTTTTTTTTGTTCTATTAATTTCAACTATTTGTTGTCCCTATGTACCACATAGGAGTAAAATCATAAGGTGTATGTTTTTCCCTATCCAACTCATATACTAGGCATAATACCCTCTAAATTCCACGTTGTTAAAAATGGCAGGATTTTATCATTTTATAGTTGTGTAGTCGTCCATTTTGCATATATACAACATTACAACATCTTCTCTATCTAATCATCTGTAGGTTATTTCCATTTCTTGGCAATTATAAATAATGCTACAATCAAAATGGGAGTGCATTAAAAAAAAAAAAAAAAGAAGGGCCTCCCCGGTGGCGCAACGGTTGAGCGCTGGGTTGCGAAGCTGCCCGCAGCCTCTGCGACGCCGGTTCGATCCCCGGCTGCTCCCCGGCCACCAGAGGAGGGTCCCACATGGCGCGCAGACCTCTCCTGCCGCCCGCTGCTCCCCTCAGCAGTGTACTTCGGTCCTTCTGCCTGCTCTGCTCCCCGCTCTGGCTCTGGTGAATTCTCTCACCCTCCCGCGCTTCTGACTGTACCCAGTGCTTGTATAAATAAATAAAAAAAAAATAAAAATAAAAAAATAAAAAAAATAAATCTTTAAAAAAAAAAAAAAAAGAAGAGTATTTTTCCTGAGTTAGGATGGAGAGGATGCTTTAGTAAAAGAATGTTTTATAATTTTCAGCTTTTGTGAACCTCTTATCATATGAATCTCCCTATATCATAACTGTGATGAAAAATTATAAAAAATAAAGTCTAGATTTTTATTGTACTTTCAGGAGCTATGTGCAAACTACCTATCTAGGTATATTTTTCACCATACCCTTTTATGTCCCTTAAGATTCAGTGGTTCTCAACTCTGGGACTTGACTTATATGAGGAGCTTTGTATAATTCTAATGCCCAAAGTCCCATGTGAGCAATTTAAACAGAATCTCTGAACAGAGGTGCTCAGGTGTTGCTGTTTATTCAAAACACTTGAAGTAACTTTCTTGTGCAGCCAGGTTGGGAACCACTGCCAAAGGCAACTCGAGTGACTTCCTGGGCCTCTAACTCGCCCCTGACTATCACATCTCAATGCATGTGACACCACTGAATTGGGAAAGAACTTACTCCAATTTCTGAAATTCTTCCACCAGACTCGATTTCTGCCCAGGGGACATTCTTGCAAAGATGGTCCCATTTATCAGTATCTGCAAAAAAGCAAAAGGGAAATGTTTTATCATGTCAACTGGTCCTACATCAGATAGGTAATGACTCAAACACTGAGCAATGATATCCATGGATGAGGGAAAAAAAAAATGTTTTCAATCCTCCTCTGGATTTTAAAACAGACATTGAGGATTTGGTCAGCTATAAGTGGCCAAAGGATATCAAAATCACTAAAGATGAGTACTTAAGAAAATATATTTGATGAACATTAAAACCTACAAGAATTTAGCTTAGCTGCCATAGAGAATATGGTGCTAAAAAATCCTTCACTTAATAAGAGTATGAGAAGCTACAAGACAAGAAAGAGTCAGAATTACAGAAGGGAAGGGATTTCTTCTCAGAAATTTGTTCAGAACAAGCAGGAAAAAAAAAAGTCTATGTGAAATAGTGATTCTTTGAAGTCTTTGACTTTACCATACCATCTGGGTTTGGCCAATTGTGAACCTCAGCTGATATCCCAAGCCTCATTGGACCATGGAACATTGATGGTTTGGGGTATATAAACCTGTGCCAGCATCCTCCTGAGCTCCATTCTACAGAGCACAATTTTTTCTGCTAGATCTGTATGTTCCTACTCTTCTTGGCAGTGAATTAAGCTTAGTATTTAAGTCTCTATTAGTCTTTAAGTCTAATATTAAGTCTCTATTAGTCTCACTTAGTCTTTAAGTCTCTATTCCTTTCCGCCACCCCTCCTTAAACAGTACCTAAAATGGTCAGAAACTGAATATGAATAATTTCTTTTTGGCTACATTGAATGCAGTCTTTCTCTACCTTATTCACTTATACTATAATATACATATAATATATATTATATGTATATATTTATATATAAACTTCTACACACACACACACAAAACTGACCTGCTCCCACCATGAATTTGTTCTTCAGGAGAAAAGTTTTAAGTTTTTTAAGTTTAACCCTCTTCTGTACAGAGGCTCTCTATCAAAAACCTAATGGAATTCCTCTTTCATTGTTCTGCTTTTCACTGTAAGTACAGGATTTCCACTATTGTAAGACTCCTAAACATGGTAATATAGTGACAGCTACCCAAAAGCAATCTTTATGACTTGAGAAGTCACTGATTCTTTAATCTTATGATTGGTGGGAGATTGGATAATCACATTTATTTCAAATCTAAAAGGAAATGGACAACAATAATATTGGCAAAAATATTCACCTGGCTTATACTATATCCAATAGTTATACCTTACTTCTTGAAAGGTTTAAATTAACTTAAGATCATGTTCTGTAAGTGACATCATCAGTCTCTTTACTGGGACATTGGTATCCTCCTAGAACTTACCTTTGACAGGAGGCTACTGAAATGCTGACTTATGACCTGAAAGGATCTTCCACTTAGGGCAAAGTGGTAACTTCCCTCTCTGCCATTATCAGAGACTTCTTGCCTGATGTAATTATCCTGCAAAGCAAGACACAGCTATATTAGACCAAATATGGTGATGAGAGTCCAGGGTCTCCCTTTAAAAATCATACTCCAATCCTGATTCCTCAGAGAAGCGCTTCCTCTTTGCTAGATCAATCTTTGCACATCACAACCTCCAGTGAATAGAAGAATAACACTTACTCATGTCCTGTTCTTATACTGATTTGATCTCAGTGAGTCCCAGAGAAGAGCACATTTCACACATTTCAAGTGTAAAATACAAAAGCACTGCAGCTTAACAAATCTCTCCCTGAAGTGAGAACTCAACAATTCTTACAATTTTTTCTTACAGAATTAAAATTGTTCCACAAGGACACAATAGAGATATGATGCTGGTAAGAGTGGAATAAATGAATAAAACAGTCCACCCCACCCTAAAGACATTTCCAATGCACACTGCAGTGTCTCTCAGGGGTCTAAATCCCCTTTGAACCCAATGGGATGGCTGGGGGAAATGGAAAATTGGATTTGCAGTCCCATTTACTACATTCTTTCTGCCTACAGAGTCAGTGATTTTTTAACTTTAAAAGGGTGAATTATTTCCAGCACCCAGGAAAGCACTACACCTTAAAACTCAGTAGGAATGTTTCAAGAAACAGATATAATTGAGTTCATGGAACTGCATATGTGTTAGACATTTGGAGTATGCTGACTCTGGGTCACTTGCACAACTCTGCTGTCAAAGCTACTCAGTTGCCAGCACAGTGAGACCAATTAGGTAATATGGCAGAAAGTCAGCTTTTAGGTATACCTGATTCCCGTATACAAAGTGTTTCTTTTCTTCTATTAATTTCCAGGATATGGATGCTGGTGATGGCCCAGAGCCTTCATTTGCTTCAATGAGAATAATTTTCTGGTTTTCAGAAACCATTCCAGATTTTCTGGCCACAGTTATTGCAGTCTGCAGGTTGTCTCCTAAGAAAAAGGAGAGTGTCCCAAGATAAGATTGAAGAGTTAGAACGAATTCATATAAGGTCTAGGAAAGGAAAATGAGTTCAGGCTATATTTTAGGTGTGAGAAGAAATCATATTCAAGTTTGCTCTCAACCCATAGTAGGTAACCAACAATATTTGCTAAATGACTTAAGGTCTATTTTTATGTCAAATCCTCACTGCCTTCAGTACATTTTGATGTGTACCTGTGATCATTACAGTCCTTATCCGGGCCGAGATGAGCTCTTCTAGGACAGGTTTTGTCTCCTCCTTCAATTGATTCTCCAAGATCAATAATCCCAGAAATATCAGGTCTGATTCTACCTTGTCCCTAGAAGTATATAAATATTATTAAACAGAAATGGCACATTCTGGTCTTTCCTATTGAAAGTAAAACAAAAATAAAGATGAACATCTTCCTGTTGAGTGGTTTTCATTCACTCACTCACTCAAGCCTCGTTTCTTCAATACTGAACATGTGCCAGAATTATCCAGAATGAAGACAGGAAGGACACAAGGGATATTGAGGCATTTTCTCTAACTGAATCAAGAGGAAGGGAAAGTACTCATTAAACAAAAGACATCCCTTAACCTTCATAGTGAGGAAACTAGATGACCTCGATGCTCTCTTCCACCTGCTATGGATACCCTGATTCTCATCACCTCGTGCCCACCAGAGAGATCTTCTAGCACTGGTATAAAACATCATGAAAAATAAGTGAGACACAAGAAAAATGAAACAAAATGCCAGTTTCTGCAGAAACCAAAGCTATAATCTATTCCAGCAGGTCTGAGGCCATGATTGCAACAAACAGACAAATAAATAATAGCCCCTCGTTTGAGGCCAAGAGTCCCAATGCTTTCCCCTGAGCTGTAGCAATGCTCTCCTGCACCGGGTGCATGCAGTACAGAGAAGTGGGCCCCTGAGGCTCCTTCCATCACAAGAACATCTCCAAGACCTTCCACAGGATCCAATGCAGGAGGAACATTTGTGGTTGGGGTGCAAAGATTCTTCCAAGATTCATTTATTGGTGCCCAGATACCACGAGGAGCTACAAGCGTAAGACCCCAGCACTGCTGAAACTAGCTGACACGAGGTAAAACCAGCGCTCAGGAATGTCCCGGAGCCTTGCTCACCAGGTGTGTCTCAATGCTGGCCTCACTTTGGGTTCTGCATGAAATGGAGTTAGTTATGCTCTCAGGACATTGCTATCTGTACCAGAATGGCAGGAAGTGGGCAGTTTGAAATAGTTACCTCACAGCAGACTCGGAATGATGGTATTTCCTATTCTGAAATTCCAAATTATCTTTCCAGCTTCATCTATCACTGAATTCTTAATCCTACCCCCAACCTCCAACCAAATCACTCACCATGGATGTGATCTGTACTGAGCCACCTCTAAATATTTGCTCTGCTTTAAAATATTCTTTCTGATTTGATGGAAAACTCATAAGCTGCCCAGTATCTGACACTGAAATCCTCCCTGTATATTGAGACCCAACTCACATGGACCTACCCCATAAAGAATTCCCCAGGCAAATAACTGCTCCCCCAGCACATTACTCTACCTCAATTTAGTTCAGGTTTTATTTGTTCATGTATTATCATTTCTAATCTGTCTCTTTGTCTCATCTTCTTAAAAACTTATAGTGAATCACCTGGTTCAACATTAAATTCAACAATGCCCATGTGGTACCTGATACAGGATGTACTCACCAAATATTTGCCTCCTTTTTAAAGATTTTTTTTAATATTTGAATTTTGTTTGCTAAGCAACCTAGGAAAATTTATTTCCTCTTTTGGAAATTCTAATGCCACACAGGTTCTCAAAACACTGAAGTCAGTCTGACAAGTAGGTGACCACTTAACATACACCTAAGTAAGTGCAAGGAACAAGGCAAAAGAAAAGGAGGGGAGAATAAACAGAATATAGTTGCCTCTAACCTCAGAGACTTAACTCTGGAGGACAGAATTAGACTAGATCTCAGCTACATGGAAGTCTGGGAAAAGCACTATGATTATGTGTAATGAAGAGCCCGATGGCAGGGCTGGGGTGAGTCAGGGATTGTCAACAGAAGCAGCACTGACTCCAGGGGACAATTTGGAAATTTCTTAAATGTCTATACAAGATTTTCTGCAACAATGAATGCACAATAACTGTATCCCACATGACTTTTGATGTTTTACAAAACCATAGGCACTAAGAAATTGTTATACTTTCCTAAGCCAGGATAGACTAAAACTGCTTATATTATGTTATTATATTATACAGTATGCTGTACTATTATAGTATGTATACCCTATTTTATATTAGAAAAGTGTAGAATTGTTTATATTTTCCCTTGATTTGTGGTATCCATGAACACAAAGTATGTTTGTGCATTTATAATATTCTATTGATTTTTCCAGGAATGTAACTACCATGTAAACAGAGAGGAGAAGGCACTGTTTTCCCAGAGTATTTAACCCTTTCAGAATCACCTCACTGACAGCAAGACTGTAAAAATCTCTCCTTCATAAAGCATTCCTGTCCTAGTCTGCATTCATAGGGCTGCAGTCCAATAACTCCATACAGGTGCAAGCAACGATTTCTCCACTTGGTTTAGTACAGTGAGCTGAGTCTTTATTGAACTATCTATTACTTTTTGTAATACACTTATATTTTGACTTTTATCTTTACTCTATGGAAGAGCATTGCATACTTTTATTATTTTTTAAAAGATTTTTTATGTATGTATACAAGAACTAGGGTACAGGCAAGAGGTGTGGAAAGTGAGAGGATTCACCAGAGACAGAGTGGGGAACAGAACAGGTAGATTGACCAAAGTATATTGCTGAAGGAAGCAGGTGGCAAGACAGGAGAGGTCTGCTGCGCCATATGGGTATCTCCTTGGCCGTCCAGGGATCGAACTAGTGCTGCAGAGGCTGCGATAGCTTCATAGTGCTGTGCTTAACTCCTTGCACCACCAAGGAGGTCCTGCGTACTTATATTTTTACAGAGAAAATGTGCAGATAATGCTACCTATAAATTTTATTTTAGTATAGTAGAGAGAGTGGTCCAAAATAAAGTTACAAAAAGAGAGTCTTGAGTTTGTCAGGACTGAACACAAATATGCTAGACCCCCCAAATTTGAAATTCTAAACAACAAAATAAACCTTGATTATCTCCACAGCACTATTGCTAATAGTGACTGATAGACAGCCTTAGACATGACATTGAAGGTGAAATAAGCATGATTAGCCTCAAAACAGTGGAAAGTGAAACAAATAAATTTGAAGTAATAGTCAAGCTCATTTTAGTTTTGAACATCCTTATTTTTTATCTAAACATCTCAAAACTTTCTCTAATGGCCCTTCCAAAGTTTTTCTTAAAATATTTCCTCAATATGTTTTAAATCAAGCTCTATTTGTTTCATTAAGTAGTGTACTTCCTATCAATTTTTTCAGAGACATGTTAATATCTTTTAACTTTTAACTGACTCCAACTATAATTTAAAGACAAACTACTTATATGTGGCTCAAAAATGGGACCATGAACCTATTTTCAAACTCTCTAAAAAACTGGTTACATTTTTATGTCTGTTTCACAATGCTGTATAATCAAATCCTATTTCACAGGACACACAGTTCTCTCTCATACATTTTCTCATACATTCTCCCAGTGAGTGACCACATGAACTTTGTGATGTATGCAGGCAATGATGACTATATTAGTGTTTAACAATGTTCAGAGACATTTCACACACACAAGTAAAGCAAGCCATGTCACTGAGCATACTACCCAATCTGGCACATCTACTCACCAAACCATTCAACTTGATCAAATTCCTCCTTACCTTCTCAAGGAAGTGGTGTAGTGGTCTATTTCCAGTTTTTTGTAGGCCAGGGCTATGACTCGGAAACCCTGTGTCGTGTAAATCTGAAGTTCACTAACAAAACTAGTTGGTACTGTTCAGAAAACAACACAGGATTAATATGCAATATTGACTCAGTTGGTACTGTTGGGCAATTGTTTACAAACAGATCCAAATCTTGCCTATGAAAACATACTTCACACTTCTCAAAGGGTACACAAATAAGTAGTAGAAGCTCTAAATATATATAGTCAGAGTTGATCTCTTGGGATCCAGTGAGTTGGGAATGAGAAGGAAGCAGGTGAAAAGAAAAAAAGAAAGAAAAAGGATGGGAAATGGGAAATGCATGATTCTTTTTTTCTCCAGTTTAGCCAACAAATATTGATTGAGAGTCTACTTTGTGTCCAGCATTGACAGCAAAGATTAAGCCACAGGCCACTCCAAGGCCCTTTGTGCAGTGGTGTGCTGTGGAGGTGCCAGTGGCCTCTTTGTGACTGTGAGGAGGCAGTTAGGTGAAGGAAGGAACAGGTATTTTGGCTGAGGAGAATCATCACAGAACAGCAAGACCTGAGTAATTAGTTGAACTCAAAAATGCACAGGATGTTAGGATAGGAGTGTTAAAGCATATCAGCAAATTTTGACTGACTTTGGCAAGACTTGTGTGTGAGTGTGTGTGTGTGTGTGTGCTTATATAAAATTCTGAAGGAGTTTGCCATTTTCCTGGGGCCTATGGAAAGCAACCAAAGAATGAAACAGGAAAGTGACAACTTAGTAATTCTATATAATGAAAAACCAATCTGGTCACAGTATGAAAGGTGAATCAGGGTATGGGATACTAAGGATGGGGAAGGGTTAGGTAATTTACCAACTATTGATCTTGTAGAGAGATGATGAGGATCTGAGTTAATCATATAACTGAGCCATGGATTGGCAATTAACAAGGTAGAGACACTAAGGGAGAGGGAAGAATCTGGGAAGAAATCTAAATAGGGGCAGGGATGATGGTACCATTCACCAAGATGGATAAAATAGGAAATAGAAAAAAGAAAAATAGAAAGTTAGGCTACTTTTGGTACTGAGTTTGGGATGCAAGGAGTCATACAACTAGCAAAAACCAATAAGCAATTGAATGCATAGATTATGTGCTGAGGGGACTGGAAACACAGAGTAGTCAATTGTACTACAAGTCTATTCACTTACCTGTCTCAGGCTGGCAAAAGCTAGCCACCCTCTCTGGCGCACCCTTCATGAATATCAGTTGGTCACCCCCTATCACTTGGACAATGACTGTCATCCTCTGCAGTGCTGATGAGAATGGGAACTGATGCAGGATTGCAATTCCTTCCACCGGAACCTGGTTGAGGGATGGGGAATGAAGAGGCACATACTGACACAGTTTCTAGTAGTTAATTCTAGTTGGGAATTAACTATTCCTCCCTTTCTTTATTTTAGCAAATAAGGGAAACAAGTTCTCACAAAGTTTCATCTGTGGAATTCAAAGGCACATCTGTGACCTTTCAGAACTGTGGGGTTGAAGGGATTTTCCCTTGAGTTTGGGTATTTCAGGGTGGATCGCAGGCAAAGCTTACCTGACTGGCTGTGTTGCAGGGCTTAACTACCATTGCCTGTGCCGGCACTCCCTTGATGTGGGAATCATCCCCAGAAATAGCCATTTTCTGTTACACAAATGAGATATTTTATTGTAGAGATTTATTTCTTGTTCATCCACTGATACTATATTTAAATCCTCCCCTTAAGAAAATCCTCAGACCACCTCAATGTATTCTCTGTGTCTCCTCCCTCAGCGTGATGGAGGTGAACTGGTCTTATTTCACCACAGGGGGAAAAAAAAACAATGCACTGAAAATGCTGTGGAACTTGAAGGGCAGGCACGTTTGAATTATTCATGCAATTTATCCTGCTTTCTCTGTGGGAATGTGCTATATAAAGACTCATCCTCCATTTCTGAAGAGCTTAACTTGAAAATAGTGAGCCTGAAGAGTCAGACTTATTGTGTGAAGCAAGCGTCTTGCTGTCTTTCTTTTCCAGGCATTGACGGATATTCCTGTTCTTCCCTCTATCTAATTTGGATCGATGGTCCTCAGAGCACCCAGGGCAGGAACTATAATGTACGTGGTTAATGTTCAGTAAACACTCAGTAATTGCTATCATAATGACCCCAAATTACAGTCAAAGGAAACTTTTACCCAAAGATGTCAAAATGCTTTGCAATCATCATATCATTGAATGCTGAAAAAAAATCTCAAGCGAGGAAACTGTAATCCCTACTTAGACATACAGAAGTTGCAACACAGGAAGGAGGGAAGGCTGGCTAATCTAGATGAGGTGCCTCCAGCACGTTATGAGTGTTGGAAGGTTTGTCTTCTTCAGGGGCCTTCACACGTATGTCTCAGGGGCTCAGGGCTGCACCAGGCTCCAGAGGTAGAGGTGCAGACGGTAGAGGTGGACGTGGGGCCAAGTGGGTAGGGAGGTGTGTTTCCTAAGCTCCACCTTTATGCCCCATCTTTCAGTGCGTCTAAACAACTCCAACTATTTGTTACTTATTGTGTGCCTTCTGAATAAGTTTCCTTTAAAAAAAATAAATAATAAGATTGTCGTTTTCTTGTTTTAGTTTATGTAAACACTTGTTGATTTAACTCAGTCCCCTCATTGTATGGTTATGGGACCCAAAGTCCCAAAAAGAGCAACGACTCTGAGAGTCAAACATTCAGAGCAGAGCCAAAACAAGTACAGGGAGAGCCAGATTCCTCTCCTGAACCACATCATACGCTGTTAATTCAACTCCAGAATCTCAGCAAAAGCTCTTTCATGGCTTTCCTTTTCATTGTCTTAGAAACAAAACCAATACCAAATTTATAAGAATCAAACTCTTAGTAACAATGCATTATCCTAAGCACTGGGGAAAGTGATGATTCCTAATCCTCACGTTCTAAAAAATCTTTGAAGCCAGACATTGCTCACACTAAATATAAAGAGCTGAAAAACAAATTTTATAATAATTCTAATTATATGGATACTATTGAATCTATCATATATGTCAAGCACAGTATTAAGGATTTTTAGAAATGATCATTCCATTTACTCTTCCTGATAACTATAATGGAGATGCTTTGTACAAAGGAAGAAAACAGACACATGTCCCTCATTGCTGCATGGACTCCATACTGGAGACCTCACATTTTAGGTTACCCCTGCATTGCTCTGACATTGAAGAAGCTTCTCAGAGTCTCTGCAGAGTACAGACTTACCCAGGTGGTAGCTTCAAACATTTTGAGATCCAGAGGGTCTCCCTGGATGGTGCCATCAAGAAGGATGAGAGAGTGGCAGCTGGCCATGGCCGCACACAGTGGGCCCCAGGGCAAAGCTCTGGCAGAGGTGAACCTGTGGACTTCCTGGAAACTGAAAGACAAATGACAAAAGGTTTCAATCCTATTCTTGATGGCAAAATAGAGCTTTGGGGAGAGAATATCCTTACAGAATATAATTTAATGTGCTTTGTTACATTAACACCCACTTTCCAAACCCTCCATAGATAGTGTTGCATCCAGTCATTACAGAAGTTTGATGAGTATGAAAGAGGTCTCAGATTCATTTAATCTCTTTCCTCCCTTTTTTTTTAAGGAAAAAATTTTTTTTAAAGATTTGTTTATACAAGAACCAGGGTACAGTCCAGATGCGTGGGAGCGTGAGAGGATTCACCAGAGACAGAGCGGGGAACAGAACAGGCAGATTAACTGAAATACACTGCTGAGAGGAGCAGCGGGAGAGACAGGAGAGGTCTGCTGCACCATGTGGGTCAGCTCCCTAGCCAGGCATCGAATTTGCGGCAGTAGTTGTGGATAGTTTCATAATGCTGACACTTAACCCCTCAGGCCACCAGGGAGGTCCTCTTCTCTTTTTCTTTACACTTCCTCTGGAAATTATTTAATTCCACTGTAAGGAAGATACTACAGGTATCTTCTTAATTCTAAGTACATCCACTCCCACCTCAGCTACCAGATCACTTCATTTGCTACCCACGAGACAGAACAGTCTCATATGATAGCTAAGTGGGTGCATGTGTATCTCCCAGTCTTCTGTCTCTTTCTCCCCAACATATTTGATGTTTGACCCACAGTATACATGGGTGAATGAATGAGTTGACTACTAGAAAATCTGAAAGACCATTATGGTAAAGAAATGAACCCTAAAAACTATATTTAAAAAGAACACTGCATCCTGCTCTTCCACCTTGGCATTAGTGCCCATATTGCAGCCATCATCACCCCAACTTCCTATAGAAAGTAACTTCATTTAAAAGCTACTGAGATAGAACTCAATATCATGGCAGGGTTCTTTCACCCATTCAGAGATAAAGTCATCAACCTTGGTGGGCCCCACTAAGAAATATCCTTGCTGTGAGTCCATTCTGTATTGTGCAGTGCAGTAGGTGGCTCAGGAGGAAGCTGATTCTATTTGAAGGACTCTGTGTGGCCGTGGTGCTTCCTGCATTGATGCTAAATCTGCTCCTTAGAACCAGTCAGAATCTACTTGCTTTCCATCCTGCACATGTCAGCTTCTTTCAGATTTGCACACCAGTGTGGCTGTGCCCTTTGAATCCCCCTTCCTCTAGTGCTACCCAGGGACCTTTAGCTGGACCTCCACTACACAGTTTCTAGATCTCTCAACTTCCTCTTTACTCTTCCTTGGAGGAGTCTGTCATAGTTTGTCTTAAAGTGTGGTCACCAGGATCAGACTCTTAGTTCTCATGAAATGTGCACTGTATTTCTTTAAATACAGTCTGATGTGGATCCAGCCTCTTCTTCTTAAAGGCATCCATGCCACAGTACTAACTCATGAGTCAGCCATATTTCTTCCTGGCTTCCTCATTCAAACTTCCCTAAGAGGTCAAAAACATTCTGACTGCCTACTGACCCTGATAATTATATCTATTATTATAAATCAGTTCAAGTTGTCTTTGTGGTGAACAATATCCCCCCAGGTATTTTAGTAAACATCTAAAGGGAAAAGATTACCAGCAGTGTGATTAGCACAAAGCTTAAGGTCACACGATAAAACAAACACGTATCAGGAAAAGATATATATTTAAGACAGCACAAATTGTCATCGGTATGTAATTCTGAATGTGTAATTTTCACTTCCTGCAGATTGGGTCAAACCCTGGATTGCTCACAAGTAAACAGAACTCTGTCACCCCTGTTCTTGTATTTTTATTTGAATGTTATGATTTGTCAAGACTGGTAAACATCTGATGGTTCTTGAAGTATCTGCACACCAGGAAGACTCTTTTTGGAAAAGGTAAGAACTACTAGAGATAAAAGCTTTTACAAAAAGATATTTAATAGTCTGTAAGTTAGGCGCTAACTTATTGCATAGAAGTGAGCCTATTTTATTTCATGTTATTACTTACATTTTCAGGATTTTATTTTATTTTATTTTAAAGATTTATTTATTTTTATACAAGAACCGGGGTACAGGCCAGATGCGCAGGAGGGTGAGAGGATTCACCAGAGACAGAGCAGGAAACAGAACAGGCAGACTGAAGAAATACACTGCTGAGGGGAGCAGCAGGCGAGACAGGAGAGGTCTGCCTTGCCATGTGGGATCCTCGCCAGCCAGCCGGGATCAAACCTGGGCTGCAGAGGCCGCGGACAGCTTCACAGTGCGGCGCTCAACCGCCTGCGCCACCAGGGAGGCCCCTCCGGATTTTATTTAAATTTAAACTGCTCTTTTAGTCATTTGATTGCAATTTGGAAGGAAGGAAGGATAGGAAGCAGGTCTAATATTCAATAACCTAAGCATTATGTCCACTATTGTTTTTTTTTAAAAAAATTTAAATTTATATTAAATTTACATTTAGAAATAAAAAAGTTTCAAAAGTTTTGTGAATAATGTGATGTCAATTCAATAAGTAAAAGAGCATTCAAAACACAAAACATATTTAATTCATTTTAGGTGAACATTTACTGTGCAGCTACTATGTATGCACAATACAGTGGCATTAAGAATACAAATATAAATGAGGAAAAGACTACTTTCAAGATATGCATATATTGGGAAAAATGCACATACTTTTTTGCTGAAGATGAAACAAACAAAAAATATACTAATCAGCAAGGAGGCCAAGTATATATACAGAACTCTCTTCAAGGGGCAAATGAAAAGAACTTGAGAAAGGTTAACACATAAAAGAGGCTTCTTTGTAGACTGAAGTGGTTAGAAGCACCGAGGTTAATTTTCTAGCCCAGGAAACAGACTTGTTTATAAACAGTATCTTAGGGGCCTCCCTAGTGGTGCAAGGGTTCAAATCTCTATGAATCTATCTGCAGCCACTGCAGCACGAGTTCAATCCCCAGCCAGGGAGGTAACCCAACATGGCACAGCAGACCTCTCCTGTCTCTCCCGCTGCTCCCCTCAGCAGTGTAGTTCAGTTGATCTGCCTGTTCAATAAATAGTATCTTTTTTTTTAAGATTTATTTATTCATGCATACAAGAACTGGGGTACAGGCCAGATGTGCGGGAGGGTGAGAGGATTCACCAGAGACAGAATGGGGAACAGAACAGGCAGAGTGACCAAAATACACTGCTGAGGGGAGCAGCAGGCAAGACCAAAGAGGTCTGCTACGCCATGTGGGTATCTCAGCAGCTGGCTGGGCTCAAAGTCGTGCTGCAGAGGCTGCAGACAGCTTCACAGCTCTGCACTCAACCACCTGTGCCACCAGCGAGGTCCCAAAATAAATAGTATCTTAATATAAAGGTGTATTAAACACAAATAATGAAAATATTTTATGCTTAACTTGTATGTCATCTGAAAAATGCAAAAAAAAATCAAAATATAAATTTTTGGCATAGATGCTTTGCAATTTTAGGTTGCAAGTAGGAGAGGGAAATACTTTCATTAAAAAAAAAAAAAAAAAAAAAACCTGAATGTCAGCTTTTTCATGTTCTCATCACATTGGAGTTGCCCCGGAGAGAAAAAGCAGACAAGGAACAGGGAAGCAAACTCAGACATGGCCACAAGAGGGCCAGAAAAGAGGGCCCTGCTAATCTTTACCACACCAAACTGCCAAAACTGAGTCTTTCCTGGCTAGGAAAGAGGAGTTTCCAGCAGTCAGAAGGCAGAATTTCCAGAAGTAGAATACCAAGTACCATGAGTACACTAGCTATGGTTCAACAAGTTTCTCTTCCTGAAATTCAAAATATGCAAGTGCCTCCTGGCCCACCTAAAGGCTTCAGCTTGTACCAGACACCTTACCTCCCCAAAGGGCAGCCCTCTGGCATCATCCAAGTTAGTTACACTGGAACAATTTCATATCCCTGACTAATCTACTGAAAGCAAATTACATTTTAGCAAGTATTTGAATGAATGTGAAAACTTCTCCATCATCTGTTGGATGTTTTAGCAGTATGGGACAAGAACTGGGATGTGGGGAAAAACACACATGTTTTGGTAAAACCTGGAAGTGTTCAAGAAGAGAAATTAAATGAAGATATCCTGGCCACCACAACTTGCCAAAATCAAAGCCAAAATGTCTCTATTATTAGCTTTCAGGAGAAAATGTAGAAATCTGGGAAAAGACAAACTACATTTAATACAAGCTACTTACCCACTCCTCTCGCAGGGCACGACTCCCCAGACATCTAAGCCATCCCTTGTTAAGGTGCCTGTCTAAACAGAAATAAGCACCAGTTTACTTTGAAGGTCCAGTAACCACAGGGTGGAGACCAAGAAGGTATGTTTTAGCAGGAAAATATGTTCACAAACATAATATTGAGATGACCACTCCAAGGAACAAGAAAATAAGAAACGTATCTGGAGACTTGGGTGGAAGCTTTGATGAGCTTGTACCAGTTATATGACAAATGGATGCTTAAGATCTTAGAACTTCAGCGTTCCTGGTGATAAAAGGAAGAAAACAGTTTCGACCTTACATATTTCAAAGATTTGTTTTGAGGCTCTAATGGTAGACAGAATGGATGAGTAAGTCCTTGGTAAGGCTGCAGGAGTCAGTGGGACAATTCCCATTTATGGCAGAAGCTAAAGATATTTCAGTAAAAATTAGCAACGAGAGTAGAATTTTTCACACTTCTAAAGAAAAGGCTATTATTTGACACCTATTTGGTAGGAAGGTAATGCTTCTTGGTATTTTTCTCAGGGTACATAATGATGAAGGTCTTTGTCTGGAGTAAAACTCCAACTGCAGGACAGGGACAAACTGTTTACTCCCTCTAAACTTCAGAGCCTTTATCTGCAACATGGTCATAATTGTATAAGGTTGTTGTGAAGATTAAATGAGAAAGTAAAATGAAGCACTAGATCCAATATCTGGCATAGAATAAAAGCTAATAACAATGACAACTGCACAGTCACTACTAAATTTTAATTCAAATCCATGTCTTAATTACCTCTTCATTTTCCATGCCAAGGATGACATGACCCCATAAATAGAACATCTTTCTTTGTCTTGCTAGTGTGACCACAAAATGATATTGAAGTGTTGGCAAGAGCCAAGTCAACCGTTTGGTCTTGGTAGAGCTCTCTAATATTCTAGTAATTATAAAATAACGCATTGATCCCATGAAATCTATGCCATCAAAAACCTGTTGAATGGTATGAAGTTTCAGTTTGGGAAGATGGAAAAAAGCCTGGAGATGGATAGTGGTGACAGTTGCACAACACTGTGAATGCATGTAACACCACTCAAAAATGATGAAAATGGTAAATTTTATGTTATGTCTATTTTACCTCAATAAACATATAAATTATGAAAAAGGAAGGCAACAATAAAAAATACTTAAATGGTTCCCCACTGCCCAAAGAACATGTAAAATTTTCTGAGCCAAGCATTCAACATCTATAAATACCCTCTCCCATCATTAATGTCCTCCTCTAGTCAAAATCACACTCTGTTCTCCTGATGCCATGCCTTTGTCCATATTCACCAGCCAACAATGTCATTGTATTGCCTATATTTTTTAATTTTCTGTACAACACAATGTTTTGGCATCTTAAACCTTTCTGATGGGGAGTAGCCTGCCTCTCTCTCTCGGGCTAGCCAGTTCTCCGAGACAGCAAGGGACTCAGCCAACAGCATTCCATATGCCAACTCACCAGTCAGGAGCCACACCTCCTCCATCAGTCCTGCTCCCCTAGAGACAATATTCCTCAGCCTTAGTCACCCTAGGATCAAGTTGGTAAACTAGGGGCCTCCCCATAGCTGAAAACTCATAGAAACCATGCAAACTGGGGCCTCTCCATTGGTGCAAGAGGTTAAGACACAACCTATGAAGCTATCCGCAGCCACTGTAGCATGAGTTGGATCCCCAGCCAGGGAGCTGCCCACCTGGTGCAGTAGACCTCTCCTGACTCGCCCACTGCTCCCCTCAGCAGTTTATTTCAGTCAATCCACCTGTTCTGTTTCCCACTCTGTCTCTGGTGAATCCTCTCACTCCCCACACCTCTGGCCTATACCCCAGATCTTGTAAGCATAAATAAATAAATCTTTTAAAAATTAAAAAAAAAAGAAAGAAACCATAAAAACTGGCCAAGCATAAGCTGGTCACCCTGTCCTGCTTTACCTTTCCCGTCCCTGTTAAGTCCATGGCCTCAATATTCCTTTAGCTCCTTTCTTTGCTTCCTAATCACAGTCAGGCATTGTCTGGGGTCCTGCACACTGTGAGCCATGACTCTCCTTTCTAGGGGGCCTGGGAGTAACAAATTTTTCTTTAAATAGCATTGATCTCTCCCTGTGGTCACTCAATAACCTTTATAAATTAAAACTTCATTTCCATTGTATCCTTTCACAACTCTCACCTTCACTCCCAGCATATGTGTGTACGGACTAAAAGAACACATTCAAGGGGAGAGGCCATAAGAGACTGATTGGAGTAACGAGCATGTATACAAGGATAATTTTGAACAATATACTAGAGATGGGAAAATAGAGTAAGGGTTTGATGGGGGCTTTATTGCAATCAAGTCTCATAGTATTGCATAGTTAAATTAAAAACTGGGCCTCTCTGGTGATCTACGGGTTAAATCTCAGCACTATCACTGTTGTGGCCTGAGTTTGATCTCCAGCGGGGGAGCTAACCCACATGGCACAGCAGACCTTTCCCGTCTCATCTGCAGCTCCCCTTAACAGTGTTTTTCAGTAAATCTGCCTGCTCTGCTCCCCACTCTGTCTCTGGTGAATCCTCTCACCCCCACACGTCTGGCCTATACCTCAATTCTTCTATGCATAAATAAATAATCTTAGAAAAAATTTTAAACTCTTCCTTTTTTATTCATTCATGAATTAAAAAGATATATTTATTGGGCACTGACTATATACCAGGCAATACCTTGGCATTAAGGATTTTGGTTTTTATCTGAGGGTTTTAACTGTGGAGTAATAGAATGCTATTTTAATTAATTGGGTTTCAGAGAATATTGGAGCTGAAACAACCCCAAAATATACTCCTATGCAAGTACCCTTTCCCTCTCCTCTGAACTTCAGAATCAGAGAGATCAAGAGGCCTCACTTTCCTAAATCACACACCCAATCAGACAGAAATGAAACCAGGTACCCACACCCTGTATTTCCTGCCTCACAAGAACATAAAACACCTATACATGATGGCACTGTTGATAAAATGGAGATGAGAATGAGGATGAAACCCACATACCTTATCAAAGCAGACAAGGTTCAATTGTCCACATACATTGATCCTCTGGGGACTGATACAAAAGATGCCTCTCTTCTTCAGCCTCCTCTGGGCATAGATAATACCCGTGGTCAGGGCAGCAGGCAGAGCGGGAGGGACTGCAATTGTAATAACATCCAAGGCTTTCTTCACCACCTCCTCGGCAGGTTCCTGGAAGATAGAGGCTCTTTAGCTGTTGTTCAATAGATCAATAGAATGATCAGTTCTATGACTTTTTTATAAAAGTATATGACTTTTTTGTTTACTTTTTTAGGTGAAATTCCTGGAAATGATAAGAGTGGGTCTAAGGGTATGAACATGTTTCTGGCTCTCTGTGTATATTGACAAAGTGCAATGAGGGGGCTTGTAGCCATTCACACAGCTCAAGCAGAGAACACTGCATCAGTTAGCAAAGGCCACACCAACATCCATTATACGGGTTTTATTTAAGAGCTAAAACATACTACATTATCAAAAAAATATACTCTCAGTTAGAAAATGAAAAAAATATATAATGTAAGGAAAGCATGCAAGAGAAGAAGCATATTAGTATCTCAATAAACAAAGAGTTTTTATATTATTAGATCTGTTACTAAGGAACTTCATGATCAACTGCTTATATTGGGGAACAGAAGTATATAACAGGTCTCCATGTTTGGCTTTGTTTCCCAGGTTTGCAAACCATGCTCTTGAAAAGGTCAACTGCAGTGTATAAAATACACAGAGATGAGTGTAACTGTACATGTATTTAAAGAACAAAAGAGCTTACCCCACTGAGCACATAGACACACAAAGTATAGATCATCCCAATGGTGGCTGTCCCCACGAGGCACAGGAGGAACATGATGGCATCCCTGTAGAGCTTAAAGTTCACTGGCTTGGGGTATAGAATGGATCTCACAAGGTCCCCCTTTGCAGTGTTGAATCCTGAAGCAGCAAACACATACCCCACACTCTCAGGATGACAAAACCTACTATGAGTGTTCTTCTAAACCACCATATAGCCTTTCTTTTTCTCTAGAGATATTTAGACAGTGGTTAAACTCAAACACATCTAAAGGATAACTGGGGAAATACATAGGTACTAAAATGGAAATATCTTACTACTTCAGGTCCTAGGACTCTCTATGGTCTCCTCCTTCTAATTTGAATTTTAATGCATCACAGTGATAGGAAACCACCGCACTGGGGCAGGACACAGCTTTCCCAATATATAACTTCTTTTGTAAAGAAACAACCCATGAGCATGTCAACTCACAAGTCACTTGAGTTTATATTAAATGGCTGAGTAATGAACTGATGAAGCATGTCTAATACTTTTGAGAGTCAAGTTTTCAGTTTCTAACTTGGGATTTTGGGTGAGAAGACCTGAGTTTTAGGTCCAGTTCTTTCTCTCACTGACTGTGTGATTTTCAAAAAGTCACTTGAATTGTGTCTGCTTCAGTCTATTCACGTATAGAGTGGGAACAGTAGACTCTTTATTCCACTTGATATGTGGAAACAATTTATAAACTTCAGCTCATAAATAATAATTATAGTCACCAATATTATTTTTAATAAAATGCATGAGTGTTCACACTTAAAATATACAGCTTTTAAACACACAAACATACATATATATTTGGGTTGTTATCTAAAGATTTCTCTTTACCCAATAAATTTAAGGCACTAGAAACTGAGTGAAATTATTTCATTTAAATAACAACAATAACAAAAAGAGATGCTAACTAACCAGTCTGCAGCACCACCGCTCTCACCACGGCCCCAGAACAAGCTCCCGTGGCCTGGATAACCTCGGTTCCACAGAAGAGGATGTGCCGTTTGTAATCCCCTTCACTCTGTGTTTTCCAGGGCACAGAGCTATCCATCATGGGTAATGGAGTTTTAGTGACTGGGATACTCTCTCCTACAGAAAATAAGCATCTTATTTTGTGAAGTGGATACCTGCACTCATTTAAATCACACACACACTGGCAGACATTTGCTGTGAGATTGCCACATGGTGGGAGCAACCCAGTGCTAACTGGGGATACAAGGAGAGAAGTATAGTTCTTATTTTAAGTGGTTATAGTCCAGAGGAGGAATCAGACATGCAAACCGATAAGGTTAATAGCATGTCACTAATACTATGAGTACTTTAAAATCAAACATGGCTGCTAAAATAGACTGGAAATAAACCTGGAGGGAGCAGTCTAGACTGTGTGAGAACTGTGCAGGGGCCTAGGCATGGAGTACCCTTCATGCATGTATTTAAGTGTTTAAATGTTTTTCATCAGGCATTGGTGGCAGGTAATAGCTGGGAGATTTTCAGCTTTTCATCTTTTTAAAATTATTAATGAAGTACCATTGTTTTACATCTTTGTTAATATTTTGACAATATAGGATTTCTCCTCTTAGGTGTGAACAGTTCCCAACTGCACCTCCAGCCTTCAATCACACCAGACTTCAATTCATTCCCTGTTCTGTAGAAAGCATGCACTCTTGCATATAAATGTGATATCACCGCCCCCATAAAAAGGCTGAAAGCCCCACTTATGCCATTTGTGGCAACATAAGAGAGTGCCAGGCTTGCTTAGCAAATTTTGACAAAATCAGGTTATTTTCCCCACCAAACGAGGTCCATTTGTTCTGAGGAACAGTTTGTAAAACTTTCAATTTGTTTTTGCAGTGGGTAGTATAAAAGTAGAGACATATTCTGAGACATGTTCTGACCCTACATATAGTAGCATCACTTTCAATAGAAAAAAAAATGTATTTGGCATTGTAAAAGTTCTAGCACCCAAGAATTTTCATGAATCTATGGATTCCTTAGAGAAAAGAACTTGACCACCCATGCTTCCCCCCCCCACAATAAGAGGATGCTGTGTGTTCTTATCTCCATGTTATACCTCTCTGATCAGTCTGCAAGAAGTGGAGATTTTAATGGCAACCACAGTACATCAATGTATGTTCACAGCATCCCATTCCATTTCTGAAAAAGACTTTACAGTTCTTCTTTATCTCACAGAAATAGCACCACATCTCCCCATAAGCGCACATGTGAGTGAGAACTTAAAGTGCCCTTGACACTGTGATCTCTTCTCTGAACCAGAGTTTCCACATTTGTGAGATGCAATCATCTCTAAGGTCCCACCCACCTCCATCCCACTACTTAGCAAGTGAAATACGGTTTGGCCAACATACCTAGAGTGGAACTAAAGGCAACAGATTTGCCCAGTTTTGCATCATAAAATTTTCCACATTTTAAGCCAAGCTAGGAAGATCTCAGATTTGACCCCGTGCATTTCAGGATGTCATTAATGGTTTTCAGCCCTTCCAAATCTACCAGAAGACATATTTTATATAAAAATGCTAAACAGAAGCCACATGATTCTGACACATCTAATGATCTCCACAGATAAATGACAGTTTTAATAACCCCTCGGTTCAAGAAGAAAGTGCTAAGCACTTTCAGAAAGTCATGACTGTATCAAAGAACACCTGAGAAGCAGCTTTAATTTGAACTCTCAGAACCAGCTGGAGCAGAACTGTTTAGTGAGATTGAGCAAGAATAAGCAGCCCCAGGTCTGGCCATTGACATTCTAGAAGAGGAGGGACCTGGTGGAGGGGGTTGCAGAGGCTACAAGCTAGAGATACGGAGGTACTCACCTGTCAGCATGCCTTCATCGACCACACAGCTGCCATCAATCAGGACGGCATCACATGGCATCTGCACTTTGTTCCCTGTCAAAATTAATAGATCTCCAGGGACCAGGAAGCGTGATTCCAGCTCTTGGACTCCAACTGAAACAGGGAGGAGACAGCGTTAAATCAGGTTTTATCCCACAAAAACACAATCCAATATCTACCTAAATTAGAAATCAATAAAAAAGCAGCCAGAGTATATTTTTAAGGAGGCTATTCCTCACCATTGATTCAAAATCTGGAAACAGTAAGGAAAAAAAGTATAAATTCAATTGTAGAAAATAAAGATCTTTATGTATCAAGAAAAATAAGTAAACAAAAAAAAGGGTACCTGAAAGTTAGGTTTTCTCACAGTTCAGAAAATGTTTGAAAGTCATAGACATAGACAAGAGTAATATTTCTAATATAAAAAGTGTTTCTGATAAGAATTGTACAGCAAGTGACCACAGAGCAAAATTGCTAGAGGCTAACAGTTCACACACACACACACACACACACACTGCAAGTGGCATGTTAAAACAAATGAAAAATACTCATTCTTACTCATAATAAGAAAAATGAAAATTTCTTCCTTCCTCTCCTGCCTGCCTTTGTTTCTCTCCTTTCTTTTCTCTTCCCAAAGCTGAAAGCTTTTTAGGGACAAAGCAAAAGAGGCATCCACAGAGAGAACTGGGTGGGCTAGGAGACAGGTAGTGCCAGCTCCTGGCACTAGAACCTAGGATGGCAACACCAGTGTACAAGGTCTGGTGCAGGCAGCGAGAGGCCCAGGAAGAGGTGAACAGTGACATGCACTTGTGGGATGGGTGGCGGAGAGGGGTTCATGGTGGCAGCGACCTGATGTGGCATTTTGGAGTTTGAGCAGAGTGAAAAGGATGAGTGCAGGGGAAGGGAGTGGGAGCCTTGGAGGCATTGACAGTGGTGGAGAATGGGTTAGGTCTTTGTTTCTTAATTTGAAATTGTCTGATATTCTACATAGTTAAACTCACATTCAATAGGAGTTTGATACAAATTAGTATATATATGAGGCTAATGGAAGCCAGGTTTCTCACTGAAAAAAGGAAATTACAAATATAAACAGAAATAAAACTAGAATGAGTTCTGGTATTTGGTTTAGAATTGTATATAACAGTGAAAACTCAGTTTTCAGTAGAAAATAAAGCAGTTGTCAATGTGTATGAAATAAGGATATAGACATATATAATGTTTTCTTGTCTGATTTGCTTCATACACCTATTCTTTAATTCTGTTTTCTGAGAGGGCCTGGGAGCAGTGAAAACCCAGTAACAATGTGTGCATCTAGTGCTGAAACTATAGTTTCTAACTTCTACTCTCTCCCCAAAGAAATCAGGTTCTTTAAAGTAATGGCTGATTACCAGGTCAGTCCAAGAAAAGTATAGTATAAGCTAAAATATCTTTTTCCGTAAGTAGGAAGGGCACAAAGAGTGATGGGAACAGATGGAAAAAACATCAAAACCAACGCAAAGGGCTCTGACCATCTAAATCTGTAACAATTTGAGCATCAAAGGAAATAATGATAATAATGACTTATAACCCATCCAATAAAATGGAATTTCATGAGCTTATAATGATATAAGTGAATGAATCAACGAGTAGGGGGGGAAATGACAATTAATGTAGGAGTAAAGACAAATTAGAAAGTCACCATTTGGCAACTATCAAAGTAATAATTAACTTAGCCAAGAAATATTAATGAGTTATAAAACTACTGGGTGAAAACTTGATGAGGATGGTTTATTTATTTAGCTTCAAAATGTCTCTCCACAAAATAACTATCAACTACAAAAGGGAAAAGTGCAAATTTACAATGGAGAAACCTGGCAGACACCATTTAATTAAGTAAAGCAAGTTAATGTTGCTGTAATAGGACAAATTTAAATTATGTACCAGCTGAGAAGAGGCAATGAAAACACAGTATCACTTCTGTGATATTCCAGGCAAAAATGCAGAACCTGAGTTTAATTATGAGGGAACATCAGACATATCCAAACTAAGAGACAGTCTACAAAATAAACAGAGTTGAAAGAGTCAAGGTCGAGAGTCAAGGAAAGACTAAAGATTAAAGAGACATGACAAACAGCAGTATTGTGCGATCCTGGGTCCTTTCTTTTAAAGAACATGAGACAAATGTGAAACTTAAATGGGATCTGAGCATCCATTGGCATTAATGCATCAATTATTAACTTCCTGATATTAATTGCTGCATGGTCATTTAATTAGGAGCATGTCCTTGTCTTAAACAAATATACACTCAGGGCCTCCCCGGTGGTGCAGCGGTTGAGCACTGGGTTGCGAAGCTGCCCGCAGCCTCTGCAGCGCCGGTTCGATCCCCGGCTGCTCCCCGGCCACCGGAGGAGGGTCCCACATGGCGCGCAGACCTCTCCTGCCGCCCGCTGCTCCCCTCAGCAGTGTACTTCGGTCCTTCTGCCTGCTCTGCTCCCCGCTCTGGCTCTGGTGAATTCTCTCACCCTCCCGCGCTTCTGACTGTACCCAGTGCTTGTATAAATAAATAAATAAACAAACAAACAAACAAATAAATAAATCTTAAAAAAAAAAAAAAACAAAAAACAAATATACACTCAAATATATGGCAGTCAAGGAGCCACAAATCAGCAGTTTATTCTCAACTCAGGAAAAAAAATATTTGAACTATTCTTGCAACTTTTCTGTAAGCTTTAATCATTTCCTAAATAAAGAGAAGAATGTGCATGAGATAACATTGTTCACCTATTTAATTAGAAAAATTGAAAAGTTTGTGAGCATATTCTGTTGGCAAGGCTATAGGGGAAACACATTCTCTTAGACATTTCTGCTGCAAATACAAACTGGTACTATCTCTAATGGAAAAACAATTTGGCAATATCTACTTAGCAAAAGTGCATTTTTTCTTTAACTCAGCAATTTTGTTTCTCAAAATCTATACCAAAGATAGACTGGCAAAAATATGAAAAAACAGATGCACAAAGCTTTTTATCATAGCACTACTTTTATAGGTAAATGACTTTTAAAAATCATTCAGTAGAGGACTGACTGAATAAACAATGACTCCTCCACACAAGAGAGTACTATACCATTGAAATAATAAATCATATATATATATATAATGTATCCTATATAATTTGCATTTTCTAATGTAGGAAAAAATAAAAATAAGCAATAATGAATTCTATAGGGAGAATTGCACACAAGGTAGAGAGAGGAGGGATAAGAAATAGAGATGCTGGAGGGCTTCTCTTTTATGGATTTCACTTTCAAACCATGTAGATATTTTATACTATATTTTTACAAGTCAATACAAAAATAAATTTGAAATCCAATACTAGAAGTCAAGTGATATGAACCTATCAAATTGTTGGCATAACCATACAGAGAACTATTGTAAGTGACTTTAGAGCATAATTGAAAAATAGAATATATATGCATATATTAATGTACATATTTATATAATACTTATAATATGTATGTGTGTATATATATATATAATTTGGACATTCCTAATGATATATCACAAACAAGGAAAAAGAACTCTAAAAGTAAATCTTAAATTATTTTTCGGAATCATATTTTTGAGTATGTTGCTCGTTATTTTGAGGTTATTGTATAGAAAGGGATAAAGTAAATGAGTAATCCGTTGCTTTTGGTATGGGGACAGGAAAGACAGTAGTTCCCCCAACAAAATTAAGTAAAAATTCCATAGTGCTAAACTTGAATTGGAAATATCAATATGAACTCATAATGCATGTTGCCTTTAACATAATAGGTTATGTCTTTTTAAAAGGTATAGAAACTGGTGAATGCCAGAGAAATGAGTTTGCCTAACACTATTGTTGAGGTCACTAAGTGCCATACTTAACTTTTAAGAATTCTTTGGAAAAAATGGACATGTCTAGATTTGGAACAGGAATAATACAAGATGAGTTTCGAATATCTTATCTTACCAGAGAGTAATAAAAATTCAAAGATTGGGCCTTCCCTGGTGGAGCAGCAGTTGAGCACTGGGCTGCAAAGCTGCCCGCAGCCTCAGCAGCACCAGTTTGATCCCTGGCCACCGGTGAGGGCCAACAAATCTCTCCTGCTGCGCCTGCTGCTCCCTTCAGCAGTGTATTTCATCACCCTGCCTGTTCTGCTCCCCGTTCTGGCTCTGGTGAATTCTCTCACCCTTTCACGCTTCTGACTGTACCCAGTGCTTGTATAAATAAATAAATAAATCTTTAAAAAAAAATTCAAAGACTACTGGGGTCATGCCAGGAGAACACAAGAGCCAACCAGAAGAGGCTCTGAATGGGTAAAGTTGGGACAATGTGAGAAAAAATAGAATAAAAATTGCAGTGTAGGGAAATATATGAATCATGTTTAACATTATATATCCATAATGACACCAAAAAAAATTCCCTTGGAAAATGCTACTGAATCAACCTGTTATTTGAAAGCTGGCAAATAAAGTACAAAATATTAAGTATTCTTACAAAAAATTTAAGTATGTAGATATAACTACCAATTTAAGAGTACAAGGATAGAAAATCATAATAAATAACTCTATAGAAGTGTATCAATAGAATCTAGATCATGGAAACCAGAAGACGATTTACTTTCTTCAACAAAAAATTTGGAGGATAAACAATAATATATAGAGGAGGAAATGTATATCAACCAACTGCAATATAGAGATTTTACTCGGATTCTGATTTGAAAATACATATATTATATAATACATATACACACATATATATGAGTAAATATGCATATATATGTGCATGACATTTTGTGGTTTAGTTGAGGAAATTTGAACACTGCCTACATAATTGGTATCTTCTTTTAATTAGGGCGTATTGTTAGATATGATAAAGGAATTTAAAAGGAGTCTTTATTAAATGAATATTTTTAAATGAAATAATATAATATCAGAATAGTTTCAAAGTAATCCAGGTGAAGGAAATGGTAGAACAGATTCAAACAAGAATCAGTGAGCCTGAGTTGGTAACCACCGAATTTGGATCATATCCTCTCCATTTGTTGTATATGCAAAAAATGTTTCATCATAAAAGTTAAGACAAGAAAATGATCAGACCATTTTTGTGGGGCCTCCCTGGTGGAGCAGGGGTAAAAACAGCACTACTGTTGCCAGCCACTGCTGCACAAGTTCAATCCCTGGCCGGCCAAGGAGCTAACCCACATGGCACAGCAGACCTCTCCTGTCTCGTCCGCTGCGCCCCTCAGCTGTGTATTTCAGTCAGTCTATCTGTTCTGCTCCCCACTCTCTCTGATGAATCCTCTCAGCCCCTGCACCTCTGGCTTACACCCCAGTTCTTGTATGCATAAATGAATAAATCTTTTTTAAAAAATGATCAGAGCCTCCAAGGTGAAGATTTACTTTACTTCCAGCCAAGATTTATCTCCCCACTAGTAAAAGCAAAACCATACAAAATATAGGAAACAATGGTTTTTCCACACTGAACATAAGCAACAGAAGAAACAGGAAACAAATCAAGGTGCCCTTCATTGCCCGGTTTACTGCTTGTAAGAGTTTTCAGGTCACTGTGCAGGGATGAAGTACCCAGACAAGTGAAGCAGTCTCTCTGCATTCTAAGCAGAGATGAGAGTCTATGAAGACAAAGGTGGTTGAGCTTCCAGAACAGAACACTGGAGAAAGAGAACTGTCCAGAGGGGAGAGCCACAAAGACTTGCAGAAGCCCTTACTTTACAGCAAACTAGTAATCAGCATAGTATGAGGGAACTACTAGCAAAGGAACAATTGGACATTTGCATTTTAAGATGTTGTTTGCAATAGCAACAAAACAGAAAATAGTAGGGATAAATCTGAGAGAGAATGTGAAACACCTATGAATTGAAAACTGCAAAACATTCCTGAGAAAAAACAAAGAAGACCTAAATAAAGAGATATACTGTGTCTGTAAGTGAGAAGAGCCACATTTGCTAATATGTCAATTTTCCACGAATTGATTTATAGATTCAACAAAATTTACTCAAAATCTCAGCATTTTTTCTGGTAGAAATTGCCAAGTTGATTCTAAAAGTTATATGGAAATGCAAAGGGCCCACTATCACCAAAACAGTTCTGAAAAAACAGGAACAAAAGACACCAAAAGAACAAAGAAAAATAATATTCTATTTAAGACTTTTTATAAAGCCACATTGCATGGTATTTATATAAATGCAGGGAAACCGGTCCATAGAATGGAATAGGGAGTGCAGAAATTGATTCACCATGTATGCGTGGTTTTTGACAAAGTACAAAAGCAATTCAGTGGAGAAAGGATGATCTTTACAACAAATGGTATTGAAACACTTGTATATATGCTTGCAAAAATGGATCTAAATTTAAAAAAACTCAAAATACAACATAGACTTAAAGCAATAAAATTTCTAAAGTACAACATAGAAAATCTTGATGACCTTTGACTAGACAAAGAATTTTTAAATATGACACAAAAATCAGATCCACAAAAGGAAAAATGTATGAACTGTACTTTAACAAAAGTAAAAACATCTGTCTTTGAAATATACTGTAAGGAAAATTAAAAGATCAAAGAGTGAGAGAAAACATTTGCTAATCATGTATCGGATAAAGGGTTTGAATCCAGAATAGTGAAAGAACCTTTAAAGCGTATCACTAATAGGAAAACAATCTTATAAAATAATTTAGGCAGACACTTCACTTAAGAAATATACAAGTAGCAAACAAGCACTTAATATGATGCTCTATGCCATCAGTCAGGGAAATGCAGAGTAAAACAATAATGAGATACAACCACATACCTATTAAAGTGGTTAAATTAAAAAGATTAACTATACCAAGTGTTGGCAAGAATATGGAGCAAAAGACACACACCAGCCATGGCTGGTAGGAATAAAATTATACAAACACTTTGGAAAACAGTCTGACAGTTTCTGAAAAGTTAAATGTCTACCCATCACACAATCTAGTCATTCCACAGTTAAGCATCTTCTGGTAAGAAACAAAAGTGTGTATCCAAACAAATGTGTCCAAATGTTCCTAGCAACATTACTTGTAATAGGGTAAAACTGTAAACAACTCTACATGTGAATGGATGAACAAAAGTGGTATATCTACTCACGAATAAACTATTAGTATGCTTAGTAAAATGAATGAGTTTCAAAATAGCTATGAACTTTGATCTAGATAAATTAACCTAAATATATTATAAAAGACAAAAATGCAAGCTGTATAACATTTATATAAAATTCTAAACATACAACATGGTAGTCTGAGGATGGGGGTGGGCAGAATGAGATGGGGTGCCAGGATTACAAATAATAACAAGAAAAATTTGGGGGGGTGATGAAGAGTTATCTTTATTGTGGAGCTGATTTCATGGATGGTATAAATGTCAAAATCTATCACATTGCACATTTTAAATGTGTTTAGTTTATTATAAGTCTATTTGATCTCATTGATATTTTTTTAAGGTGGAAACCTCATGTTTCTCATCCCTTTAAGTAAATGCACAAGGAAAAGATGTGTATAATGATGACAGTAAAAGGAATGACCAGAAATAAAAATTTAAATGGTTTTCTGGTTCCATATGAAAAACACATAGATCTAAAATGATGGGACTTACCTTTTCTCCCATATACAGACACTGTAACATTATTATGTGACTCAACCAGATGGTGGAGCTTTATAGATTGCTGAAAAAGAAGAAGGGAAACTAGAAAAGGATTTCCTATTTAAAGATAAGTCCCAGGTATTATTCAGTAATTCTTTAGTAGAAAGGAGTTTCCCAGTACCTTCTGTCCACTTTAAAGTTTTTGATAATGATAAATTTGTGTTTAGTTCTTTAAGTAGATTGATAACAAGAATTTTGATCATTCAAGATGTGTGTTTATACATGAATAGCTTCAAGAAACTCAGCATTATTTTTATGTAGGAATATCCCACATCAGAGTATCTAATTTTATTGGTTTTATTGGTTTCTACTACTTCTTCATAGTGTTTGTTGATCTAATATATAAACTGTATGGGAAATTGAGAATGAATAAGTAGAAAACAAAAGAAAAATATAATTATATTTGAGTAAATATTTATTTGGAACTATTGTGTGAAATGTTATCTACCTGGTTCTGAGGAATTAAAGGTCTCAATCATTCAATGTTCATTTTTTTATTCTGATTTTATCATTTAAAATACTTTATAGCTTCAAATCATTTACAGATCTGATATATAAGCCTTAAGAATGATTATTAAAATAAAATAGGCTCAGAAAGTATTCTATAACTCACTATTTAAATTTTTTATGCATTCACCCAAAAGTTATAAAACAAGCATTACGTGTTGCAGAGTATGCTAAGAGGTGGGGATAGAATGATCAACAAAACCAATGTGGTTCTTACCACCAGGGAATTTACAGATATATTTAGTGCATGCATTAAAGTAGATAACAAGAGGAAAATACATTTAATAAAGTAATCACATGCTGTAAGAAAACCTAAGTTACTCCATTTTAGACCAACATCATTATATGTCCATGACCAGTAATTGCTCTCGCCTTTCCAAGGATAGCCAGTTTCTCCATTGTTTGTTTCATGTGTGTTAACCTGAACAGGTGATCTATATATAACTCAGTTACTAATTTTAGTAGAACAGAGACATATGTGACTGTCCCCAGACATCTGGCATCATTAATTTCACACAAGAAAAATCACATACACTAAACAGGGTATATGATGATTACTGTCAGAGGAAGTCCTGTGGACCCTGGCTCAACCTACTGGCTTTGGTGCTTAAGACCCCTGCCCTGATAAACATCAAGTGTGATTAATGGACATGACTGCTTTGTTCTTCGCACTCAAATTACTTCTCAATTTAGAGGAACTTCTTTGCTCCTGCAGCTGCACGCATACATAAATACATCATTATAACTGGTAATAATAAGAAAAAAACAGAAGCTGCTTTTGGAGTATATTATAACCAATGGAACCAACAGAATTTTTTTCTAAAGAATTGACATTGAGTTAAATAGGATGTTGGATCTATGAGTTTGGAACTCAAAGGTTATATTTGAACTTGAGACAGATATATAAATTTGACAAATGTCATTACCTTTAGAAATGATTGGCATATTAGCAATAAGAATAACGATGAATCTCTCAGTGTACTATATGAAAAGACCCTCAAGACATATCATTAATAACAGTAAAGGTAGGTGGAAATAATATAAAAGTACATTTTATATAAGATAAAATACATGTATTTGTATTTGCTCCATTTGAAAAATTTTTGAAAGAATGCAGAAGAAACTAATAAAAGTAAGAAATAGGAAGATAAGTACACATTGTATAAAAGTTTTATATCTTTTCATATTTCTTTGATTTTAACACACTGATTTTTTAAAAGGCCAGGGAGAGGAGGGCAAAGTATAAAGGAGAATGGAAAAGAGCAACTGGAGAGGTTGAAAGTGTTTGTCACTGCACCCAAAGGGAAGGAGTAGACTTCCAAAAGCAGTTCTGGAACAGCTAATGTGTCAACTGAAACTGAAAGTTTTAGTGATATGTGTACTGGGAGAAAAACTATCCACTGTGGGAGGAGGAGCTAAAATCAGCCAGCAAAAGACCAACAACCCAATAAAAATTAATGAAGAAAACAAATACATTTCACAGTAAAAGAAATACAAATAACTGAAAAGATGAGTAAATGCCTAACTCATAATGAAAGATGCTATTAAAATTCTGGAATTCTATTTTCACTTATATTGGCAAAGATAAGGAAAACAAATACTCATCTACTCTTGGAGGAGTTTGGTATGACTGCTTAAGAGGCATTTTGACAACAGCTATTAAAATAATATACTTAGGTTATGATTAAGTAATTTCAAATATAGAAATTTTACATCTCCATATCAGCATAAATATATATGCTGCATATATATATAAATATAGCTGTGTGTGCACAAGGGTATATATATATATACCTGTTATATACATATTTGATATAGAAATATTTACTTGTACTTTATATATATTCATAAACATATATATGGGGATGTGTGAAAAGATGGATGTGCAATCATCATTGCAACATTGTTTTAATAGCAAAAGACCTAATACCTAAATATCCATCAGTATTTGACTTTTTTTAAAAAATGGTATATCTAAGTAAATGTATTTATGCAGATATTAAAATACATTCAAATATACATAGGCGGAAACACCAAGTATAGAACAGTGCACATATGTGCTTCCCCTTGTGTCAAAGGCATGAATGCACTTATGCTAAACATCACTGAAAGCATATAGGACATCTGGTCCCAGTGGCTGCCTCTTGAAAGGGAGCCTGGACACTGGAGAACTAAGGTGGGAGGCATAGTGACTCTTCGTGTACACTGCTTCTAGTTGAACTTTTTCTTTACCATACCCATTAGTTACACTTTCTTTTAAAAAGGAATTAAAAAAAATATTTAAACTATGGGCCTTGGGGTTATTGTTATGACCTTAACAAGTATTGTACAAAAGACATCATGTGAAAGAGAAGCACATCAGTACACAGAGAGGTGAGAGGGAGATAAGTCAGTGATGAGAATGTGTAGAAAGTACTCAAGAAGCTTTGCTGTAAAAGCGAGAACAGAGATAGAGTAATAACTGAAGTTGGAAGCATGATCAAAAATAGGAATTGGTTGGTTTGTTCGAGGTATTTTTTCAAGTTAGGAAAAGTTTTAGCATGTTTAAATGCTCATGGGAAGGCTCTTTGAGACAGGGAGTGAGAAAGGGTCATTCATGGTCCCCATAAGCCCTCTGAGATAGAGAGGGGGTTGCCATCACAAGCACAGGTAGAGGCATCTGTGCTCCTCTGTAATGAGATGTCAGGGCAGGAGGAAGGCAGAGACATGCCAGTGAGCAATGGAGCAAATTTCTGAGTGACAGTTTCTATTTTTGTGAAACAAGTGGTGATATTACTGCTGAATCAGAGGAAAAAATGGAACATGGGCAGCTGGTATCTCAGAAACTTGAAGAGAGATTGGTTTGAAACTTTATTTCAGAGAATGGGAGAGCAAACTAACCAGACATAGAAAGCGCGACTAAATGGGCTTGGCATTCGTGAATTTTTAGCGCAACCAACCAACAGATATGTTCTCTGTGACTTTTCCCAGGATCACCTAGATGTCCCAGTGTAGAAGAACAGAAAGCCAAGAGTGGGATTGGGGCTTTGTCAAAGAGCACCAAGCAATCAAACGTAAAGAGCAAAGGGCCTCCCAGGTGGCGCAGCGGTTGAGCGCTGGGTTGCGAAGCTGCCCGCAGCCTCTGCGGCGCCGGTTCGATCCCCAGCTGCTCCCCGGCCACCGGAGGAGGGTCCCACATGGCGCGCAGACCTCTCCTGCCGCCCGCTGCTCCCCTCAGCAGTGTACTTCGGTCCTTCTGCCTGCTCTGCTCCCCTCTCTGGCTCTGGTGAATTCTCTCACCCTCCCGCGCTTCTGACTGTACCCAGTGCATGTATAAACAAAACAAACAAACAAATAAATAAAATAAAACATGCCTCTAAAAAGAAAAAACAAAACAAAACAAAAAAAAAAAACGTAAAGAGCAAAGAAAATATTAAACAGAGACTTCTCCACCCCCCCATCCCACTTCCACCATCTTCAATTTATCATTCTCTTCAAATATTTTGTCACTTATTCATATTTCACAAATATGTGTGTGTTCTGGCTAATCTGCCTGAGTAATCTAAAGAGAGGGGGAAAATTAAGAGGGGCATTGTTATGTGAAGGAAGGGAAAGGATTTAACACTTACTGGATATCAGAGTGCTTGATATTTACAAACTTAATGTCCTTTGTCATAGAGTAGGTATTGACTATTTTTTATTCCCCTTTCCAACAAAATTACAATGAAGTCATTATTGCGCTCATCCTGAGATCTTACATTGGTGGAAAAACTCACCTGTCTCAAATCATACACTGACAAGGCCATGGAAATGATGGACATGATTATGATGGCAAAAGCATATTCTTTATAGTCTTCACTAAACCACAGACAGACACTGAAGAGTTGAAATATGTAAAATGGATTTAAAACCTGTTGGAAGACACAAAAATAGGAAGACAAGGGAGATATTTAGGTTTCACACTTAGCTATTCATTGACTTGTTTGTTTTCATAATCCTCTCCATGACATAAATCTTCCCACACAATATTCTTATTATATTTACTTAGCAATTGCCATGTGCCAACATTGCACTAAGAAACTTTACATGAATTTGCTCATTTAATTTCCATAATTACCTGATTAACCACAGTTATTACTTATCTTCATTGAAAAGATGAAGAAACTGAGCCATAGATTTTGAAAAACTTGCCCAAAGTCACACAGCTGTGACTGTCACAGACCAGCAATCTGGCTCCAGAGCACTTATTTTTAATCACTGTTGCACCTTATAATATAGAAAATAGTGCTTCATGCACCTCATGCTAAGCAACACAACAATTGTGTAGATATTAACATTTCAGTGCACATTTACTGGCCTTCAGAAGGGTGAATTTTTAATTCAGATTTACCAAGTTAATACGCTTTCTCATTTATTGTTCTCTAGGATGCAACACCCACAATCCCAGAGCCATTAAAGTGTTTCCTACTCATTGATGAGGTGAAGACTACAGGGACTCACGAGTATAGAAACACAGGCCCATGGTGAAAGTGGTGAGCTGTACACAGCATCTAGAAAACTGTGGGGAAAGTAAAGGCTGACCCCAACAGCTGTGATCCTGCTTTGGTTAAAAATATTTTGGGCCCTTACTTAAATTCCTTCTAGTTGACAGTCATCTGTCTTAAACAAATACAGCAGTTCTTGACTCTGATTACAGAAGAAACACACAGATACTTTTTCTATAAGTTTCTTTTTGCTTTCTTTCATGCCTGAAAGCTTGCTAGAAATATTGAGAAAGCACCTCCACTATAGTAAGCTTTATTTAAAGCAAGGAGGAGGGCCTCCCCTGGTGGCGCAGCAGTTGAGCGCTGGGCTGCGAGGCTGCCCACAGCCTCTGCAGCACCAGTTCGTTCCCCGGCCACCGGCGAGTGTCCCACCAAAAAAAAAAAAAAAAAAAAACATATATATAAAGCAAGGAGGAAAAGGAAGTGTAGCAGAAGACGCAGAGTACATCTATATGTTTGTGGCTTCATAATAAGTACCATAAAATGAAAAATAAGCCCAGTGATTGAGTCAAATCTAAAAAGTTCAACTTAGTGACAGTCACATTGAGAGCCATCAAATTGATAAGGTGAACAGCTGCTTTTCTGCCTATAATTCTGAATGCTGGAGAAATGACATATGTTGCCCATAAGAAAAGGACTTGGGTCTTTCAAATTTTATTTACTATTTTAGTGCCACAAAGTTGATATGAGCTAAGAAGCCTAAGACTAAAGAAGAAAGAAAAGAAACATTCTGTTCAGCCCATCATTAGAGCAAAAAGACACCTGACAGTCACTTTTTATACTGGCTCAGGCAGTGTATGCAAAGCACTGACTCCACGTAAAAGAGTAGAAAAGAAATGTAAAGAAAACATGCTTGGAATTTTCTTTGATATTCCAAATTATAGTTACTTTTAACATGCATCATTGTTGGTCATTTAACTAGTCCCAAACTGACTATTTCTGTCCAGCACCAAGGAAAAACACTGATTACCTCCTTAATGAGCAGTTTCCAAATGGGTGTGATTTCCACTTTGATAGTATTTGGCCCGCATATTAACCTCCTGTAGGGAGCAATCACAGGGCATGGTTACAACTAATAAAAGTAAAACTCACTTCTCACCTATTCACAGAAAGATCTACTCCATGTTCCCTTTCTCACCATGGGGTCAGTGTAAGCCCCTGTTACACAGCATCCCCATCCTTATCAAAATTACTCAGGACAGGGAGGGTTCCCAGGCACAATAACAATAAGTATGATCATATTTCATCTGTTGAACTAGACTCTTCCTGGGGCCTAATTACTTCCCTAGTGAGAATTTAATATTAACCATTATTTCATTCAAATAGTTTCAGTATTGGTGCTCACTCAACTCTCTCTCCAACTTGGGCTGCATGGATGAGGGAGAAGATGTGTGATCACAAGAGAATAGTTTTACTGATAAGGAATACTGCACCCATTTTCCTACTCCTCTTCAGTTCTGGGAAGCTACAGAATTTGTTTTAATGTGAGTGAAATTGTTTTGGGGTCTTAAAAATACACATAGAGTTATAAAGTCCTCTCATGGAAAACTCAGAGATATGTTTCTTTGATGAGGTAGTTATTTAGCTGTGGTGAATACTGGCCACTCTCTCTGTGCCTCTCCATAGTCTTCCAGGTCTGTGGCTGGCTGAATGTATTAAAGCTGTGCCTCTCACACTTTAATGTTCATACAGACAACTCTGTGATCTTTTAAATGTGGAGTTTCCAATTTAATAGGGGTGAGGTGTGGCCTGAGAGTCTGCACTTCTGATAAGCTACCAGGTAATTTTGATGTACCAAGACCCTAGGTCTCTTCAAAGTAATGAAAACGAGCACTGGGAGGTGTGAGAATCATAGAAACTGAGAACCAGCAAGTCCTCTTCCTCCTTTTTAACAATTAGGAAACTAAAGCTCATTAGGGAGAAGCTCTTTGCTCAAAGCCATGCAGTGAATTAGTGGCAGCCACTTAGCATTCAAAATCCAGTGGCCTCCCTAAGCCTTGCTCCTCTGCCCAGGAACTGAGTAGGAATTGAGGAGCTATAGTTTTGTATGATATCCTTCTGCTATTCACAATCATTATTATTTGTTTTCACAGTATAATAATATTGATATTTATTTCCTGGTAATACTCAACACTTTCGCAACCTTATTGTTATAATAACATTGAGAGCATTGTGTGGGAAGATGACTAAACACAGTCAGAAAAATGAGACTCAGTCCTTAACACTTTCATTTCCCATCTGTGTGACCTTCTTCAGGACATTAAACTTCTCTGCGTCTCATATTTCTCATCTGTTATATTGTAATGATGAGGATATCGCTTCTGCCCCCGCAAACCCCAAAACTGCTCAATATAGTTAAGATACAGTGTATGAAAGCATTTAATTTATAATACTAATTAGAGCATTACAATGTTTTCTGATATTGATTTATTAAGATAACTATCTACAGCATTCTCTATTAACTAGTAGCTGTCCTTTCGAGATGGTATAGGTAACAATATACATGGTACCTAATATCTTGTTCTTCTCTTGTTAGACCTGATCCAAATTTTAGATGTATCTTGGCAGAGCTGAGCCATTCTTCCAAAGAGCTAAAATAATAATAACAGTGAGACAGACATGTTTAGCAATAATGTTTTTGTGCTATTATTTTATTTTTTTGGAATACAATTGCTACACTAACTTACCCAATTTTCTGGAACTGTCCTTCCAAGTTGTTCCAAACATATCTTATTTTCTGTACTTGTATGCATCTCACCTGCAAAATGAAAAATACTAAGAAAGTCTCCAGTTTGAGGATCAGAAAATATATATCAGTTTAATGATTAAGGAAATATTTGTTGCAGCAAAGATAGAACCCTACTACACAAATTTAAGATTTTTGCTTTTTCCTAACTTACTCTATTCCTTCCTATTACACAACTGGCATTCTTTACTAGAACCTATAATTCAATAACCTGCATCACGGACCTATTATATGGAGAAGCATGTGACTAAAATTAAACTACTGCCTTCCACAATTTTAAAGATTTATTTATTTATGCATACAAGAGCTGGGGTACAGGTAAGAGATGTGGTGGGGTGAGAGGATTCACCAGAGACAGAGTGGGAAACAGAATAGGCAGAGTGACTGAACCACACTGCTGAGGGGAGCAGTGGGTAAGACAGGAAAGGTCTGCTTCGCCATGTGGGTTGCTCCCTGGCCGGCTGGGGATTGAACTCAAGCTGCAGGGCTGCTGATTGCTTCACAGTGCAGTGCTTAACCCCTTGCGCCACCAACGAGGCCTGGCATTGAGCTTTCTTGTTTCTAATTTCCTTAAACAATTGAACCTGAATCTAATTTCCTTAAACAATTGAACCTGAATCTTCATTAACTGGTATCTGAGCTAAGCACAAAGAGAAACAGTGAGATTGTCTTATTATATGGAGCAATGACTATAACCTCATTTTGTCCATTTGATGCCTAGATCCCACTCAAGAGGTTCTGATTTTATTTGTCTGGGGTGCAGCCTAGTTATAAACATTTCTAAATTCCTCAAATAATTCTAATGTGCAATCACAATTGAGAAGCAGTGTTCAAGAGTTCCTCTTAGTACTTCAGCTTCCCCATGAATAACTGGAGGCAATCGGTCAGATTATCTCTAATTTCTACTGCAGTTCTTCTGAATATGTCCTAGACCTACAATAGTAGATAGATTTTAAAACTAAGAAGAGCATGTAGCTGGTACATAGTAAGTGCTCAATACATTTTTTATTAAATAAATAAGTGCGTTGTACAAGCACATATCAACTAGAAATTGAGTTTAAATCCCTAAACTCCAAGGCTTGAGTTACTTCAAATGAATCTTAGCCCTGTTCAAGAAATATATGTGTGTGCACATGAGCAAGCATAACCATAAGAGTCACAGAGAGGCCTATTTCTCAGTGAATTGCTACCTATCAGAGGAGGCCACCTGTAAGCTGGAGGTGCTTCGTCTTTTTGGTTTTTGTTTATTTGGTCAGTTAAGGCAACAGGCTGATAACAATTAACAGTAGAGAAACTGCTCAGCAATTTACTTTTTTAAAAAAAATTTTAAGATTCATTTATTTATGCATACAAGAGCTGGGGTGCAGGCCAGAGGTGCGGGAAGTGAGAATACTCACCAGAGATAGAGTGGGGAGCAGAACAGGCAGACTGACTGAAATACACCGCTAAAGGGAGCAGCGGGCAAGACGGGAGAGATCTGCTGTGCCATGTGGGTCACCTCTTTGGCCAGGGATCAAATTTGCGCTGCTTCACAGTACTGCGACTTAACCCCTTGAGTCACTAGGAAGACCCCGCAATTAACTTTTATTATTTAAAAAAAAAATTGACTTGAGCACACCAAACTAATTTAAACAGCTATCCACAAATACATAAACCTAAGAAAAAAGGCTGCCTTATGAAATGTTTTCAATGTGAATGTTAGCTGGTAATAATCCAAGTGTTCTAGTTTAATATAGTGAAGAAGGAGTAACCTACATACATGTGAGTGACAGAAGTCACAATAAGGTAATTTTGTAGACATAAGCTAATTCCCTAGAATACTCCTGAGTAATTAGCTTTACTATAAGATAAACCCTATATATAGATGATAATATGGGGCCTGATATTACTACGAGCTAATATGTACTAATCATTCTCTATGTACGTGGAGCTGTACTGATGTTTGTGTTCCTTTATTTACTTAATTTCAACAAAGAATATAATAGGCAATTATATTAATCATTTTGTACATGAAAAAACTGAAATTCAGAAGACTTAGTAACTGATCCCAGGTTGTACAGCTTAGAAGAATGAGGTGGAGATTTGAACTGGCGCTCTGACTGATTCCAGACTTCTTGTTCTCTATAAAGTTCCACACTGTTAGCTGAGGATTGGTCCAGTGGAGGAGCTGAATGTAGTCTTATATTTGGAGGGGTTGGGAGATTAAATTTCTCTAACATCAGCAGTAACCATAGCTACTTACCTTTAGCTCTGGCTTTCTTATGGCTCTATTTATGATGAACTCCTCATCTGCAATGAGAGGGTGGTCAGGAGTGAGAGCAAATGCTCTGTTTAATTCTGACAGACAGATCCACACTACCTTTTTCCAAGAGTAAATTTGGAATTCATCCTGAGGAAACAGACATCAAAACCCCCATGAGGTTAAGAGCAGTCATCAGGTTAAAATTCAATCTGAAAATCATCATTTCAATTTTATTCTGTGTGTGTATGGAGTTAATAAACAGCCTAGACAGAATTATATGCCTCTGAAAGCTGACAGACAAAACCCCTTTAGGGAAAAAAAGGTTATATCCCTTACTGAGAATTTGATGTGGACATGCAGCACAGTTAGTGTCAAGGCAGTATCAGGTAAGAACTAGTTCTCTCTATTCCCCTCCAACCCAAGGGATTATAGACAGATACAAAAATCCACAGGAAAAAAAAAATGATTTCGCAAGAGTTTCTTAGGCCTCTGTGGATGAGAAAGTTAGGTCACTAAGCCATCCCTATCTTTTGAGGCTTAACTTAAATTCTACCACTCCCAGAATAGCCCCTTAACCACCATTTTGCCATGGTGGGGGAAATACTGTCACTATGTTAACTCCAAAGCGCTCTAACTGTCCCTTACTTGTGCTTCTAATCACTTTATGCTTTGTATTTTCTTATTTCTTCTAGGCTCTCTTACAGGTAAAGACCATGTTTTCAATAAAGGTTAAAGATAAAGAGCAGAAATAAAGGAACTGCAGTCTGCTTGGTGAGAGTAATGAATGCGTGGGGGAAAAAACTGGCTTTGTGCATTGACCTTGCCCAAGGGTAATTTTCAATACATTAGCACAGGTACTACCTTCTTTCTTGACCCTGATTAAAGCTGCTTTCCTATGCGACTCACTGATGACTTCATCACAGAATAAAGCTGGAGGGAGCAGGACTGGGTTAACAGACAGCACAATTGTCCTTTAAAGACTGATGTGGCAATAGTATTGGCTACTTCTCTGAATGGGCAAATGCTGCCCATAAAATCCACTTGGATGCCTGGTAAGCTTCAGGAGCTAGGAAGGATGACAAGGGGAGGTCAAGTCTGGGAAACTTTAATGCTCAGTGGATGTAGGTCAGATTTGAGAATTGTGTCCACCACATCCACTTTGCCATGAAGTGTCTGAGGTGATGTTGGAAAAGGTAGAGATGAAAATATATAGCAGTTGTAGCTGTCACTTACATCATTTTCCTTAAGGGAAGTCTACCTGCGTGCCTTTGTTCCTGCTCCTTCTTTAGCTTGGAATACAAAACCTTCTGTCTTTGTGTTTGCCTGTGGCTACATTCTAAGCATCCTTTAGGGTCTAATTCAAAGTTCACATATGAGAGCCATCCTAATTTCTCTGGCTGATCTTTCCTCTAAGCAATCCGGGTACTTGAGAGTCTTACCACGTTCTACCTCATTGCATTGCCCTCTGCCTGTCCACTTTATCATTCCTCTTGAACTGTGGGTAGGGACTGTATCTGATGCATGTCTCTTGCTCCAGCCAGGACTAGCACAGATTCTGAGGGAGAGAGAATGATAGAGAGACAGAGAGACATATACAGACAGAGAGAAAGAAAAAGACAAAGAGGTGAGGGGAAAGGGAGGAAATCAAAACAAAGAAAGTGGGGTGGGACAGAAGAATGGGGGAAACAATAGAAATGTGAAAGTTAATGAATAAATTTTTAAAAACTAGCAAAATTAGCTATTACTTCCATTTTTTTTAAAAAATGACTACATCAAAGCAAATCAGATTTGCATAGCATTACCTTCAGAGCCTAAGACACCATGATGGCTAAATTTCTAATGACTGGGCCTCTGAACCAGTAAACACATTCTAGGTATTGTGAAGTAAGCAACCAGCTCCCTAGAACACACCTTCGCATAGTGTAGCATTATATAACTTGGCATTGATTATATCAAAGAGGACTTTGTTTGAAGAACTTTGAATTTCTAATAATAACAATAATAAAAATCACTAATGTTTATCTAGCACTTACTTTGTTCTAAGCACATAGTACTGCTTATACATTATTTCTAAAACCCTATGAGGTCATTACTGTTCATTAGCTTTATTATTTTGCAGGTAAGGAAACCAAAACACAGTCAGTAACCATTAGAGCAGGAATTTGACCCTCACTTGCCCCTCCAGAGTCCCCTCTAGTCTTCCACTCTACTCTATATTTTGTTTAAAAATTCACTTTGATTGGACTACCATTTTTATATCCAGCCTCACATAATTTCTAGATAAATAGGAAAGCACCATCTAGACTATAAGCCTCTGGCCACCAAGTGAAGAAAGACTATTAGGGAGATAGCTACTCTTAATCCTCTTAAGTGAATTAAAATAATATTAGCTACTAATTTTCATTGATTACTTAGCAGTTTGTGAAAATTATTTCTCAGTTAATCTTATTTTAAGTACATAATTCTTCACTTGTGGTATTACCATCTCCCTTTTGCAGATGAGAAACTTCTCCACCAGCAAAGTTATTAATTGTTCAAATGGGTATGAAAGAGATAGAAAGGCAGAACGGCTCTAAATCTTGATTCTTTCTTCTTTGTTTCAATGAGTTGTTCCATGGTCCTATGGTGTTTGTGTCTCATGTATGAAAATCACCTTGAATTATGCACCGTTGAAAAAGCAGCATCTCACAGTCTCTACTCTTTCAGCAGCAGAAAATCTGATTCCCAAAACCAAGCTGTTACCCTTTGGCCCTGGTGACAGCAAACAGACCTTAAGACTGTAATGTTTAGAAAGGTAAAGGCAAGGTGAAACTTTGAATCTGAAGGTCTCAAAGGCCAATAATAACCCAGTGTAGCAACTTCATGCCTTAGTCTAGGTGATTAAGAATCACCAAAATTCATCTGTACACCTCCATCATTTTATGATCTATAACATCACTACATTGAAGATTCTTGGATATATGTGCCTTTAAACTCATTTCCCAACATCCTGTCTCCCGTCCCCCAGTCCTCTAGCTCAAAATTTTGTGTAACACTAACTAGAATTCTTGGCATTAAAGATACCACAGTGAGGCAACAACTTTTCTTGGAGAAAGGTAGCAATACTATTTTTTATTCTGACAGACTCTGTAAAAATATCCATATTGTTTAGGAAAGTCACCCAAACTTTTTAAGGGGAGAAAAGGCAAGAAGTGGAAGGAAAGTATGACAATGCCAAGTGTTTGCTCCAGAAAACAGCATCCATTTATCCCTCGGTTTTCAGTTTGGTGTTGTCCAGTATGGGAAGAGCACAGGCTCTTTCTTAAACTCAGATCTCATCTCCAAACCATTTTTAAAAATCATGCAACCAACTCTCTGGGCCCCATTTTTCTTCATCTGGCAATCTGGGAATGATAACACCACATTTCATGGATATTTAAAGGATTAAATGTTATAATGTGTGATGCACCTGATCTGCGCCTGGCCCCTGGCAGGGAGCAGCAAATGCTAACTGGCATATGCCACCAGGGCTTGTTTCCGCAGCAGGTTGTCCCTGAGATCTCCCTGTAAATAGGAACTTGAAATTTTTAGGGAACTTGAAAATCTCTGAGAGTCTCTCTTTATTTTTCCTCTCTGAAAAAGACACACCTTTATCTGGAAATGGCTATTTCCACTTCAGTCTGGCTCCCAGCTCTCACAAGCAGCTAATGATTTTTTTTTAAGGATTTATTTATTTACTTATACAAGCACTGGGTACAGTCAGAAGCGCGGGAGGGTGAGAGAATTCACCAGAGCCAGAGTAGGTAACAGAACAGGCAGAGTGACTAAATTCACTGCTGAGGGGAGCAGTGGGCATGGCAGGAGAGGTCTGCCGCACCATGTGGGACCCTCGCCTGGCGGCAGGGGATCGAACCGGCACTGTGGAGGCTGCAGGCAGCTTCGCAACCCAGCACTCAGCCGCTGCAGCACGGGGGAGGCCATAATGATCTTTAAAATACTTAAATACACCAGAGAACCACCCCTTGAAATAATTACTCTATCATGCAAATAATCCAAACGATTTGTCTGGAAAATGTGGACTTTTAGCATCTCAAGTCTCATTGAGCAGATTTTACCTCCTTGTTATCCAGAGAATTAACCAGACAAGTCCTTGAACTCTAAAAGAATAACCTTTAAAATAATTCAAGAGTGCTTTCTAAAGAACTGAATATATACAGGAAACCTAGGTTTGACCTGGACAGAAAGACAGAGGGAGAAACGTGGGCATTTTTTATTTCCTGGGGCTTTGCCCTTTCTGAACCTGGAAATGGCAGGCTAACTTTTGCGTTCTGAACTGTAGCATAATAGTTACTGCAGTTCAGGACAAGTGACTCGTCCTCTTGTGTAGGGATTCACACCATAAAGTATGATTCTGAGCTTGCTTTTTAAAGAAAAAGTCACCAATGCAAAGTTTCAAAACATTAGGACATCAGTACTCTTTACTTAGAGATGGATGCATTGTGATGCTAAAAAGTTGAACTCTAGCTAAGGTGAAGTACTTAGAGAATTATGGAAAAATGATAAGTTAAATTTCTCAGGTTAATTCTAATACTCTTGAAATACATTTAGAGACTCAAAACTTTGGCATAATAATTTTCTTTCTAGATTTAAGTATCATTTTTTTTTCTTTCTTTCCCTCTCTTAGCCAGACCTATTGATATACTGACATGTTGAACTCATATTCCCAAAGTTGCTTAGCTGGGAAAAGTTGGCATTAGCTAGCATGGAGGATTTGGTTATAAAATATAGAGAAAAAGTACTAAGCATTGCAGAACTCTCACTAATTATTCTCTCAGTCCCCCTGGGACATGTTGACCCCCCAAAAAGGAGGGGGGAGAGGAATAGTCAAAGCAGGAAAGTTATATAACAAAGCAAAGGCTATATCTATGTTTGTATGCAAAGAAGAAAAAGAAAACCCTGAACAACTCAGCTTATGATTTTGGAGAGATTCTTTTTTTCTTTTTTGTTTTTACCATCATTTTCAGAGTGGAAAGGGACTGGTGAATTTAACTTGCTGATAGTCTGAACTATCTGGAGAGGCCATGTGTAGCAAAAAGTAATGAATAATAAATTAAAATTAGTTTTAAAAAACAAAAGTAACCAGGGCCCATGGAACGCCTCCCTGCCGG